CATGGCTCCCCAGCCACGTGCGCCTGGGACGGGGCCAGCCCGGGAAAGGGACTTCCTGGCCGCCCTTCTCCCAGGGGGCGGGACACCCGGGCGCAGGGCCAATGAGGAGCCCTGCGAGGGGGCAAGTCCCATGAGAGAGAGAGAGAGAGAGAGAGAGACAGAAGTGCAAGTGCAAGTGCCTCTGTCTCTGTCTCTCTCATGGGACTTGCCGGAGGGCCGTGGGAGGGCCGCATTTACATAGAGCAGGGAGGGCTGTTCGAGGGCCGGATTAAACCGGGCCGCGGGCCGCAAATGGCCCGCGGGCCGGACTTTGGACATGCCTGCTGTAACCTAAATGAACCCTTTAAATTCTGTGGTTGAAGCTTGGGAATAACAGAAACATAGCCGGGGATTATCTTTTTTTATTTTGAATGAGTTTAAATTTCCAGGGCCAGTTGAACTGCATGCTAGGAAATAAGTAATTGTCTTGAATTCCTCGAGAACTGAGCAAGTGCCAGATGACTAAATGAGAGACAATAATGTCCCTATCTTCAAAGAGAGGAAAAAGATTCAGAAAAGTATGTGCCAGTCAGAGTGACATCAATACTTAAGAAAATTTTGGAGAAGAAGATAAAGAAATTAATTTGGAAAAATATACTTACTTACTTACCAAATGTTAGTACGGACAAATCTTGTCAAAGTAACCTTATGTCATTTTTGACTGAGTACTTCTTGGACACATTTTGGGAATGCTGTATATTTATGGCACAAACATTTCAACAAGTAACTCATGACTTTATTAGCAAGATAGTTAAGTAAGGACTGGGTGACAATTAAGTGGACACAGCTAGGTCAGAAATTATACTCAGAGAGTGCATATTGATGGTTGCTCATCAAATCAGAGAAGTATCATACAGAATGCCACAAAGATCAGTCTTGTGTCTTCAACTCTTCAATATTTTTATTAATCACTTGGATGAAGAAAAGAAAATGCTTCTAAAATTTGCGGAGAACATAACACAATGAGCTAGCTAATGCCTCCGAAGTCTGTACTAAAATAAGCAATGAACTTGCGAGATTTGGGGAATGGACTAAAAGTAAGAGAATAAAATAAATCAGAAATAAGTGCAAAAACTTTTTTTAGGAAACAGCCATTAAATGTACAAGCATAGGATGGAAAATATATAGCCTGGGAATAATACTTATAAAAAGGCAAAAATAATCTGCCTGAATCATGGCAAATACTATTTCTATTTCCTTCTGTTTTGATTAGAATAGTTTAGTACTTCAAGGATTCAAAGAGAGAAGAGCAATAAGGAACTAGAAACTAAATAATACAAAGTGATATTGCAAAAATTGTACATGCTTAGACTTGAAGGTAAAAAACACAACTGAGGGAAAATATGATAGAACTCTTTAAATATCTGAAGGGATGTTACAAGAAATCAAATCAATTCTCTCTCATTCCAAAGGGTAAATAACCAAACAATTATTTTAAATTTCAGAAAGGCAGACTTTGACTATTGGAAGAAACTTTGTAACAGCAAGAGCAGTTCACGAAAGGAACCAGATGCTGTTAAGTCTACATTTTTAACTGATTTATAGAGAACAAAAGGCTGAGGATGTAAAGGCTGCAACTGTCCTCCCTGAGGGAGATGGGCAGTCTAGAAACATTAAAAAAAATGGCAATGCTGAAACCAGTGGTGCCCAGCCTAGACAGAACCATTATAGCAAAAGTAACTCAGCCACCTCCAAGGGACATCCTGTATCCCACCAAATAATTTTAATTCAGAAGGGAGATAATATATGCCTAGAGCAGTGGTGGCGAACCTATGGCACGGGTGCCAGAGGTGGCACTCAGAGCCCTCTCTGTGGGCACGTGTGCTGTCCCCCCAGTTGTAGGCCTTCAGCTGGGTTTTATAAAACCTTTTTGCTTTAGGCCTCCGTGGCCATGTGCAAAAAAAAAAGGTTCAATCAGTCAGTCAATTTCAACTCGTTGCGGGAAAAAAAAGATCTTGCAAAGTTGGAATTGATTGAACTTTTTAGTCCCACCCAGTCTGCTGTTACCACCGCAGCTACGCCCACCCAATGGGCCACACCCACCCGGCACCCGATAATGCATAAGTGGGTTTTGGGTTGCAGTTTGGGCACTCGGTCTCTAAAAGGTTCGCCATCACTGGCCTAGAGTTTAAACTCTGGAGTATAGCTGCAGCTATAAGGTTGCAGTGGGCAATCAACTGTTGAGTTTTGAAACATGCTGTGCCTTCACTGAGTGCCATTTCACTTGTATCCTCAGTTTTGAATTATTTATATTTTTGTTCAAAATCCCACCTTTTAACTTTTGCCTGAATAATTAGAATTAAATTAAATTAAAACCACCTGTGGTTTTCAGCTGCTGTCCCCAACATTTTCCTTTCTACCAACTATGAACTATGAATGAATCATTAGTAATAACACTTTTCAAAATCCTCTCTTACCTGCAAGGCTATTCCACTTTCTTGCCTCTCTACTGAAGCTACAAAAGTGGCATTCAGGTATAAATACTGAGCTAACAAAAACCAAAGCTAATGTAGGAATAACTGATTATATAAATATTTTGCAACACTGCTATACAAAATAAGTGTACCCTAATATTAACATAGTCCAATTAAGCCCATAGAACATCCCACTTAACTAAAATTCCAACAATATTAGAAGTAAATACAGGAATAGCTTTTTAGGCAGGCCTTTGTCTTGAAAAATGGCATGGACATAAAAAAAACCCCTTAAGTTAAAATGGCGCAAACCTTATGCAATATATCAGGGGTGTCAAACTGCCGGCCTGTGGGCCGATTGCATCATGCAGAGGCTGCACCCACCCCAACTCCAGCAATGCAAAAAAAGTTGCGATACGTTACGACACGTCAAGTTTGTGTGGCAAGTTTGATACCCGTGCTATATATTATTTCTTATGGAAGATTTGATTTCAGTCATTTTAAATATTCAACTTTTAAAATATTTAATTTTGAGATTACCTGATGCAATCTGGGGATCCTAGTGTGGTGCAGACCCCACTAAGTAACTACTCTATAATATATCTTCTATATCACTTTATTACTGGAAAAGATATGATACCTAGCTTGGGAAAATTATGTTTTCATCTGTGTTGTTCAACTCACTTTTTCTAGGCAAACGGTGAACAACACATTTTGGAAGAAAAAAAATAGTGAAAGAAACAAGTCTTCATCCTTATAAAAGTCTATATTACATTAAGGAAAGTATCCACATATTTTAGAACTAATTAAACACTAAAAATTTGTAGAATTCCAGGTAATATCTTCTCTTTCCTTTTATTGTTCTCCTTTATTGGAAGAACAGCAAATGTACATGTATCATCTGCTGCCCAAATGCTGAAAAAAACATATGGAACAAACTGACAGAGTGGAGACCACAAAATGTAAAAAAAACATATTGAAAATACCAACCTTCTGCACAGGGCACAACTATCAGAGCTCTGTCAATAAAAACTGTGTTTGTTAGATGCTGGGCCACACCAACACTTGAAGACTCCCGAAACTTAATATAACATACTTTGGAGGAAAAAGCGAGTGGTGCATTGCTGCAAGAAAAAGAAACCAATTAGATGCTACAGTTTCATCTTTTTTTCAAGCTGTGCTCAAAGGCAATTATGTACACATAAATACCAACAAAATAATAAAAAAAATAAAACATATTTTTTGATATCTTTTTAGTGCTTCTTAGGCTGATGCACATTAAAGTTAATTACAGAAGATATTAGTTCTTCTACAGATTAATTTATTATGTGTCTACTTCATGTGTGGTTAGGAACGAGACCTTCTAACCAACTTAGGCTGATCTTAAAAAACCACAATCTATTTCGCTAACTTCTAGTTCCTAGACATTTCTATGAACTAAACTTAAAACTGGAATAAAGATAATGCATTATTTGAAGTTCTATATGTGACTTATGAACTATAATTATGCTAAGAAATTTAAGAAATGGTTTAACAGAAACCTTGCTCAATAGTAGTAACTGTGAGAGGGACCTCGGAGTCCTAGTGGACAATCACCTAAATATGAGCCAGCAGTGTGCTGCAGCTGCCAAAAAGGCCAACACAGTGCTAGGCTGCATTAACAGAGGGATAGAATCAAGATCACGTGAAGTGTTAATACCACTTTACCCTTGGTAAGGCCACACTTGGAATACTGCATCCAGTTTTGGTCACCACGATGTAAAAAAGATGTTGAGACTCTAGAAAGAGTACAGAGAAGAGCAACAAAGATGATTAGAGGACTGGAGGCTAAAGGATATAAGGAACGGCTGCTGGAATTGGGTATGTCTAGTTTAATGAAGAGAAGGACGAGGGGGGACATGATAGCAGTGTTCCAATATCTCAGGGGCTGCCACAAAGAAGAGGGTGTCAAGCTATTTTCCAAGGTGCCTGAAGGCAGGACAAGAAGCAACGGGTGGAAACTAAGCAAGGAGAGAAGCAACCTAGAACTAAGGAGAAACTTCCTGACAGTTAGAACAATTAACCAGTGGAACAACCTGCCTCCAGAAGCAGTGAATGCTCCAACACTGGAGGTTTTTAAGAAGAGACTGGACAGCATTTGTCCAAAATGGTATAGGGTTTCCTGCCTGAGCAGGGGGTTGGACTAGATGACCTCCAAGGTCCCTTCCAACTTTACTTCCAAAATATACCTGACTTCTATGTCTTCCTTTGAATGTCTTATTTCTTTCTTACATTATCAGTCCTTCTTTGACATTAAACTTGCAGGATCATTTTTAATATTTTGACATAACATTTACAAAGTAAGCGTATTTCAGTCTATATAAAATGCTTCCAATTATCTTTCTCCGCACACATTGTAATCTTAAAAGGCTTAAATTAATAACTATTTTGGGTTCAATTTGTGTGATACAATGTTGATAATCAAACTAAATATATTATTAATACTCCATATTTCTGAACAAGGCCTGTCAAAACAGCCCAAAACAAGAAATTTTAATACATTTAGCAATTGAATTAATTGCAGACATGGAAGACCAAAATCTGAACTAGAATATTGTAGCCAATAAGTAGCATCTCCAACATTATAGTGCTATCTATGATGGGTCCTTTGCATTGGCATTCAACTTTTAAAAGCTATTCATACATATTGCTAATTACACATATGGTTCAGATTTAGCTTAGTTATGATTATTGCACATTAGAAAATAATAAAGTATGCTTCAAAGTCTACAAATACTTTATTTGTATTAACTATATTTCAATTAATTCAATTAATTATTAATCTGTTCACACTGAGCAAACAGAAAAGAGAATAGAAAAATTTCAACCTCAGTTAATTCAAAGTAATATATAATCAGACAAAATACCCTGATCTCAAAAATGGTAACTGGGTCTGAAATGGCAGAACTGTTAACTGTCACAATGAATTAGGGTTAACAGTAGAAGGATCATGGATAACTTTAGGTCATTTACTAAAGCAGTGAAATATGCAAATTCATATGCAGAAAGCCATAAAAATGAAATCCAAAATTGGGCAACAAGAATATATTTAGAGTTATACAATACTTCAACTGTGTGCAGTTTGAATTTGCTGAACAGAGATCGCTGTAAGGAGAAACTAAAAGGCTTTTGAATTCAAGAAAGAAACAACATTAAAGGTTGGTGACCAATGGTTTGTTTTTTCTTAAGAGGAGTATGGACAATCTGTTATCCATATGCAGACTCTCAAAATTCCAGGATTATACCACTGGTATTTTGTAACAAAAAATCTATTTTGGCAGATCAAATTCTGGATATTTTACTGGTGAGTAAGAATGATAATAATTGTCTCTTTCAGAGATGTCCCGTTCCTTTCCTGCTATTAAATTAAAAGAAATATTAAAAGGGAATACAGCTCTAAAACTTTTCTTTTTTTCTAAAGCATCTTTTTTTATCAAATTCTATTAGGTTTTGTAAACCTTGGTGCATACTGCACAAATCCAGCTAATTAAGATTGGTTATTTTCATAAAGGGTTAACAATGTCATGGCTTACTGTGGCTTATGAAAATAACCAGTAGAAAGTATTTTTCTGTGTCCTGCATATCAGAATCTCATAGGGAGAGTGTGGGAAGGCTGGAACAGTCTATTTATAAAAAGTAAATGTTGATTTAAGTATATTTTGGCTTTTCTAATAAAACAATTCTTATTTCTGCATTCTATATTTTTATATGTCAAGAATTTAAAAATAAACTTAGTTTTTTATTGTTTACTGTTAAGAATAAATGACAATGAAGAGCTGGGAATGGCGAGGCCAAAGATCAAAGTAAGAAAATTATTCCCTAAAATTAAAAAAAAAAAAACTAAAAAAGGAGAAAAACAGCAACGAGCAAAATACTTGGATTACTAGTACAGTAGCTCCATCTCTCATCTGTCTAGACCAGTGATGGCGAACCTTTTAGAGACCGAGTGCCCAAACTGCAACCCAAAACCTACTTATGTATCGTTGGGTGCCGGGTGGGCGTGGCCCATTGGGTGGGCGTGGCCCATTGGGTGAGCGTGGCTGGGGTGGTAATGGCAGACTGGGTGGGACTAAAAAGTTCAATCAATCAATTCCAAGATCTTTTTTTTTCCCCACGAGAAGTTGAAATTGATTGATTGATTGGACCTATTTATTTTTTTTGAACACGGCAGCGGAGGCCTAAAGCAAAAAGGTTTTATAAAACCCAGCTGAAGGCCTAGGACTGGGACGACGGCGCGTGTGCCCACAGAGAGGGCTCTGAGTGCCGTCTCTGGCACACGTGCCATAGGTTCGCCACCACTGGTCTAGACTCTAGATCAGACATGTCAAACTCACGACGTCGCATGTCGCGCAACGTATCGGAACAGTTTTGCCGGCAATGGGGTGGGTGTGGCTTCCGGATGACGCGTCCAGCCCACGGGCCGGCAGTTTGACACCCCTGCTCTAGATAGTGAAAATTCTGTCTGCAGCTAGTTTATTAAGATGATTTGAGCACGATAATATTGATTACTGAAATGTAAAAAGAACAGTAAGTACAAAACTACTCAAAATATTTGAATTCAATAAAAAAATCAAAGTGAGCATATTAAAATGTACATGTATCTTTTAAGCTCCAGGTATGTTTACCAGGTTTCTAGAAAACAGAACTTTCAGCCCTACAAGAACATGACATAGTACAAAAAGTGGTCTTTTTGGTAACCTAAGTAAAAAACAGTCACAATTATTTTTACTTGCCGTTTAAGTTATAAATTGCAGGATTTAATAAAATCAAATATTTCAATCAACAAAGGGGCTTTTTAAAAAACACTACACCTACATCTGAAAGTATTTATTTTTAAATAATAATAATAAAGTTGGAAGAGACCTTGCAGGTCATCTAGTCCAACCCCTGCTCAGGCAGGAAACCCTATACCATTTCAGACAAATGGCTGTCCAGTCTCTTCTTAAAAACATGCAGTGTTGGAGCATTCACAGCTTCTGGGGGCAGGTTGTTCCACTGGTTAATTGTTCTAACTGTCAGGAAGTTTCTCCTTAGTTCTAGGTTGCTTCTCTCTTTGGTTAGTTTCCATTCGTTGCTTCTTGTCCTGCCTTCAGGTGTTTTGGAGAATTGCTTGATTCCCTCTTCTTTGTGGCAGCCCCTGAGATATTAGAACACTACTATCATGTCACCCCTCATCCTTCTCTTCATTAGACTAGCCATACCCAATTCCAGCAACTGTTCTTTATATGTTTTAGCCTCCAGTCCCCTAATCATCTTTGTTGCTTTTCTCTGTACTCTTTCTAGAGTCTTAACATTTTTTTTACATCGTGGTGACCAAAACTGAATGCAGTATTCCAAATGTGGCTTTACCAAGGCATTGTAAAATGGTATTAACACTTCACGTGATCTTGATTCTATCCCTCTGTTAATGCAGCCTAGCACTGTGTTGGCTTTTTTGGCAGCTGCAGCACACTGCTGGCCCATATTTAAGTGATTGTCCACTAGGACTCCGAGATCCCTCTCACAGTTGCTACTATTGAGCAAGGTACCATCTATACTACACCTGTGCATTTGGTTTTTCTTGCCTAAATGTAGAACCTTACTTTTTTTCACCACTGAATTTCATTTTGTTAGATAGTACCCAATGTTCAAGTCTATCAAGATCCTCCTGTATCTTAAGCCAGGGGTCCCCAACCCCCAGTCCGCGGCATGCCACGGCATGCCAGCAACAGGGCAGCACAAAAAGGTAAAGCCCCATCCATGGGATGCAGGCAGCACACAAAACCATTCCCCCTCTGGTCCACAGAAAAACCTCTCTCCACGTAAATGGTCCCTGATGCCCAAAAGATTGGGGACCTCTGTCTTAAGACTATCTTCTAGAGTGTTGGCTATTCATGCCAGCTTGGTATCGTATGCAAATTTGATGAGTTCCCCATCTATCCCCTTGTCCAAATCGTTGATGAAGATGTTGAAGAGCACTGGGCCCAGAACAGAGCCCCACTACACATTTCCCTCCATGTAGATGCAGTTCCATTGAAGACCACAGCTGTTCAGCCAGCTACAAATCCATCTGGTGCTGATGCTGCCTAACTACAACTTGCCTTTTTTAGGAACATTCTCTTATGTATATTTTCATCCTTTACATATTATTTTTTTATCTAAAAAGAATATTAATAAGCCCTAAGTACTATGGTTATTTTAAGTAAGTTCTTATCCTAGAAGTTATCAGTGATTGCTGCCTCTTGGCCATCTTAAATCCTACTCAATGTTTTAAAATTCCAAATCTTAATAGCACTATAGACTTTATTTTATTATCTGTGATCCTCACTTTGTATAAAGTTCAAAACTCTGACTTCAGAGTCCTTACTGAGACTCAGCAAGGAGAAACAGGGGATCAATCATTAGTAACTGAATTTAAACATAAACTCATGTCCATCACCTGACAAACATTCAAAACATAAAATAAAAAAACTCAAAAAGTGGGCTCAATGGACCATTAGGTTTTTTTCTGATGTCGGTTCTCTATGTTTTTATGTTTACTTTTCTGTGGAATGCCCTTTATCAGAATTAAAAGCCTACATTCTCTTCTAATATTCAGGAAGCTTCAATGCCAGATCAGTGAAGCAACAGAAAAGCATGTATAATTACATAAATATTTGCTTTTGTAAATAGAATTCTTAACCTTAACCTTTATCTTAATAAAAAGAACCATGTCTGCTATCAGTGACATGTTTGGTACCTTTTATCACACAGCACATTCACATGCAGAATTCTAAGTACTTGATTATAACGTGTTAAATGTCAGAAATGTTTCCGGTAAACCATAACAATTCATCTTCCCTGAACATTATAGAAAGTACTGTAAGATATGTATGTCAGGATTTTAGATTTTACATAAGGTGATACAGTATCTGTGATTGACCATATTACAACCTCCTAAGTGTGCTGAATTGGCCGTTCAGCCCATGAAATTTCACTAAACCCTGTTCCAATTAAGGAAAGGATTGCAGCTCTACAGGGAGGTAAGGTTGGTTGAAAGAATAAGGCGGATTCCCAAGTAACTGCACAATAAAATCAATTAAAGCGGTTGGGTGAACTGAGGGGGAGAAGTCTGAGAAGGAGCTAGAGCAGTGTTTCTCAACCTTGACAATTTTAAGGCATGTGGACTTCAACTCCCAGAATTCCACAGCCAGCATTGCTGGCTGTGGAATTCTGGGAGTTGAAGTCCACATGCCTTAAAATTGTCAAGGTTGAGAAACACTGAGCTAGAGGGCTTCCCTGCCGTTATCTTTTCAAAGCCAAACAAACGAAGCTCCCACGGAAAGAACCTATCTGCAGAGGGCTTCTAACAAAGAAGCGCTGCCCTCCAAGTCAAGAGGCATTTCTCACAATACCGAAAAGGAAAAGAATGACAGGACTGAGACGAAACCGGCCATGGTAAAGAGTGGGGAAAAAAATATATATCCGTGACTAGGTGCCATCTTCACTCCGAGCAACAATCCTCACAGAAAGTAAAAGCCTCAAAACGGAGCTGCTACTAGCCACCCACAAGCAAAATGGAGGGCGCAGCATCCGGTCAGTTTTACACACATATATATATATATATATATTTATATACCCCGTTTCTTAAAAGACAGTCATTCCCGCCATTCTCTATGGCTTCCCGGCCTCACTTACTCCGGAGGGTAAAGGCGCAACTCCTCAATGTCACCTAGGAAACCGAACAGCGTCCGCATCTGCTCACTAGTAACCGCGGAGGATAAATTAGTGACTTGAATAACCGAAGTAGGAGTTAAAGGAAAGCCGAGGGGGACCCCGATTCCACCGCTGTTCATCATGATGGCGGCAATTTCTCTAGCTGACCAAGCCAACGCACGTAAGAGAGGAGACGGAAATCACCATAGAAAAGGCGTCTTTTCCTAGAGTGTATATACGTTGCGATGTTTCCGTTCACGTGGTATTCGCTGAGGTGAGAAGCGTTAGAGCCCTTGTTCTTGCGCAGGGGTAGTCAACCTTGGCTCTTTTATGACTCGTGGACTTCAACTCCCAGAATTCCTGAGCCAGCTAAGCTGGCTCAGGAATTCTGGGAATTGAAGTCCACGAGTCATAAAAGAGCCAAGGTTGACTACCCCTGTTCCTGCGGGTAGGGCTTGCCTGGGAATATTTGTTTTGTAGAGGAGGGAGGGAGTCGATATTTTGGAGTGTCATTGTTAACCAGTGATGATAAATTATCTCACCACTATTGAAACTGAAGTCCAGCACGTCTGAAAAGGAACAAGTTGGAGACAAGGACAGTTCTATGGTCAAAGTATAGCTAATACAAAAACCAATACACAATGCGAAACCCAACCTTTCCTCAAGCTAGGGCTTAGTTCTCCGAAAACCCCGCATAAAGCAAATTCACTGGTTGGTGCACGTGGGACCAGTGGGGGGGGGGGGGAGAAGGCAGTTGCAGAATATGACGACACAAGTTATTTTGTAAACTCGGTGACAATGACCTTGTACTCACAAATTGTTAGAGCCTTTATACTTAAGGCCTATTTAAGCATATTTTCTTGTCTCATATTTATATAAAATATAAATATATAAAGAAAATATCCTTAAGTAGTGAAAGAGTCTAATGCAGGTGGATTTTTCAGGCATATGGCTATGGCACCAAACAATGCTTCATGGCACTAAGATTTTTCTTTGCGGTTTTAGGTTGTATACAGCTTAGACCAGGTTTAAAAAACACATCCTAGGGCTGAGGCTCCTGCGCCAGCTTCAGAGTCATAGTACATTCAACTCTTTAAATCAGACATGACAAACACAAGGCCCGGGGGTCAGATGCGGCCCGCAAAGTGGTTTCATGTGGCCTGCGAAGCCATCCTGGAAACAGCGAGGGAAAGGCCCCCGCTGTCTTGGCCCTGGCCCAGGCCAGCCGGGAGCCAATGTACAATTTTGTGGTGGCCATCTATGCTGAAACGCATTCAGTCTTAGCTCCACAAGGCTGTCCGGAAACAGCGAGGAACCAGGAGAACCTTGAGCAGCAGCCTTGAGGAAGTGGGGCTGGGCTTGGTATCGTGGATACTCAAGGGCCAGGCTGGGCATTGGACCTCTGCTGCCCAGGGCTCCAAGCAGCCCGCACCACCATCCAGCCCCCCCCCCACATGGCCTGAGAGGAACGGTGAGGCTCCTCCAGTGGACCATGCCTTGGCGCTTGCCCTGGTCCCACCCCCTCGTGCCAGAGACCCTTAGATCTGTCCTACTCCTGCCCAGGCCCCCACAGGCACCCTTGACCCGAACGATGAGCTGGCCACACCCACCCAGTAGGCCACACCCACTCCATCCATGCCCACCCAATAGGCCACACCCACCCTGGCCACACCCGCCTTTAAATGTTAGGGTTTTGGGATCCACTGCTCAATGTGATGATGGCAGATACATGACTGCGGACAAAACGAGGGCTGGTCTTGGCATGCTTCCAGACCTTTCGTGCTAATTGAGTACAAATCTCACATAAAATGAATTCATGATTTATCAGTTGAATTCTGTATCTCGTCTTTTCATGGCTCTTTGAAAATCTAAGAGAAAGAGCAGTAACAGAATAACCAGGAAAAGCTTTTCTAAAGCGGGGAAGGGCAAAAACTCTGAGAAGGATCAGGCGTGGGATCCCAGAAGCCATCGTTCTCTCGGTACTGGGATCCTCAGCAAGCTCCCCTCTGTGTAGATTCAACTCAATTCAGAGCTAGTTTCAGGTCCCTAAGCAGCGTGGCAAATATTGGAGAGAGATTCCACTCAGATTTTGGACATTTCCCTCTGGGTGGGTCAGCCTAACAGCTCAGGGATGAAAAAGATTCCAGAAAAGGTTCAGATTATGGAACACTTTGTTTTCTGGGTCTGAAATGGGCAATGGTCTTAAGCAAAAAGCCCTAGACTAGTTTTGACAACTTTGTAATTATTTTAAATACACTCATATTTTCAAAATGAACTGCCTGTTTGGTTTGCAATACTCCTTCTCTCATTAGTAATTAGCACTAGATATGTGTTAATAATTATGCAAATGGAGCTTCCACAAATCATAATTGATAAGAGACCTGAAAAAGCATCATCGACATTGTTGCCATTGATAAATGGCTGTTAATTTCATTTAATAGTAAATCTGTCTACCTCCCTACCTTTAGGAATAGAAATCAGTATGAAATTATTTGTTCATACATTCTATTTAATTCAAATAAACATTTTAAAAGTTTAAAAAATTTCCAAGGAAGAGAAGTTTCAACAATTTATAAAAATCAAAACTGACGTAAATTGAAACCAATGAAGTACACATAACTTTAAAGAGCATTAGTTTATTATCTATTCTTTTCATGTGTTATCCAGAAACAATTTAATTATATACAAAAAAAACTGGAATGCTGAATAAATGCTGATCAATAAAAACATTACAGAGCGGCCGACAAGGGAATAGTTATTTTAAAAAGTAGTATACAGCAAATTAATGATAAAGGCTTGGTTCTGTGTGTCCCTTATTGCTATGATTGTGTTCACAGATGTGTTCAAGTATGTACACATTTTTAAACTCCAGTCAAAAATAGTAAAAAAAATATTTACACAATAAATATGTGGGAATTTTTCCAAAAAATTCGCTTGAACTGATTCTTTAAAGAACTGTTACAAAAAAAAAACCTGAATTGATAACATGATCCATTCTGTACCTCTTCCATCAAATTTCCAGATATATATTTTTATAAAATAAAAAACATTCAGGGCTTCAAGAAATGTTTTCCTGTTCGGGTAAGCTTCTTTCGCAACAATCCTTCTCCAAACATATATTCTGACAATGTTTTTCCCCCACAAAAGAACTTTAAACAGAATTTTATTTCCTTGCAAACAGACAATAAGCACCAATGCGCTGTTACTTTAAACAATGAAAAAATTTGGCAATGTTTTTACAAAAATTATTCAAATGAATTTCTAATTTAAGGAATATTTCTCATTTCATACAAAATGCAATATATTTGGACATATTTTATTCTTATGTCTTGTATGCAAAGATAAATTGAATCCATATTCAGCTTTGAAAGTTATATTTCACATAATCATGATTTTTTGTTTTTTTTATATTCTCTATTAAAAGACTAAATTGAATAGTTAAAAGTAATGAATATGGGTCACTGAATAAACTGTAAATAAAATAGCAACATTGAAGCTTGTCACCATAGAGCTATTTTTTTAAAAGATTAACAGCATACAGAAAATGTGAATTTTACCAAAATACAGCACATTTCTGCTAATATAAAAAAACAATGCCTATGTAAATATTAATAAAATCGACTAAAGTTAATGTACAAAGAATTGTTAAAGGATTTCAATTAAAATTAAGAATTATGTGCATTACAATATTCAGTTGGTAAGTGAAGTGCAATATCATTTGAGTTTAGGTATTCAAAAACTACTGTCAGCTAACAATGTGGATTTTCCATTCAAGTATGTTTTTGCAAAATCTTTAACAGATTGGTACTTTGCTAGATTTCTTTTTAAAACTATTAATTTCTATTAAAATTTCAGTTAAATGAATATTTTTTCCAATGATGGGTTAATCATTCACTTTTAAAAACAGTTATTTCTTCTATGGCACTTTTCTGTGGCGCATAATACCAATGTATAACTTATTATCGTGAATTAGGCAATATCATCTGTTATAACATGAAAATGAAGAAAATAAACATTTGTCACAAACAAAATTATGTATAATCCAATGTTTTATGCAACTAATGAACAAAAGGCAGCTTGTAATAAATCACTCTTACATTAATATAGTTAGAAATCCTTTAATGGACTCTGAAGTGTCTAGTTCACATTTAATGTCACCTGTAGGAACAGCCCTTTGAAGAAGATCATACAAGCTCGTGGGCCCAAAATACTGTCCCTTTACAATAGGGAACAACCTTCTATTGCTGTGCAACAATGTCACATAACCTGGCTTTGGTTATAGCTCCATATGTATTATTTCCTTTTAGTCTCACAAGGCAATCGAAGGCCAACAAAAATCAAGAGTTCTTTCTGAATCATTTATTCTGGGGCATCCCAATCTTCATATGGCTCAGTATCATAAGCCTCCTTAAAAAGAGCACAGCTTTTCTATTCAGAACATGCATATGTTAAAACTGAATGTGTCTATGCATCATCATACATTACAGGCAACACAGCAAAAACTGGCCATTTCAGTTTCTTTTAAAAAATATATAAATAATTTGAATATGGAGCATTTCAGACAAGGCAGAAGAAAATCATCCTTTTATATAAAACCAGGGATTTTTGTAATGAGAGTATCTTTACAACTCCATAGCATAATTTTTTTTTTTAAAAAAGTGAGATTAAAAACACTCAAAACTAAATTACATGTAAGAATATGACAGGCAATGGATTTGATATGAATCAATCCTGTAGAACTTCCGTAAGTATATTTATTGTCTCTGCCTTAAAAAAAAAACCCTTCATGTTTTATTGCATTTTTTCAATTGGTACATAAAGATTCTCCCATTAAGTTCCTCTCCCCTTCTTTTAATTTCATACTTTTACCTGGCCTTTTAATTTAATCCAATCACTCCACTTTCAGTCTACCAATTCATCTATACAATATGCACATTGCAAAGCCAACTTTTAAAATTTCTTATCAATATCTACCAAAGTGGTTTCAACGAAGATTCTAAAAATAAATGAAAAATTAAAGGCAACAAAACTGCTATAGGACAGAAAGCCCTGCCATCTGTCCACTGGCTACAATGGAGGCTCCTTGTACACAAAGTTCTTTAATGTATATGAATTATCCACAAAATAAACCTACCATCTGTACAAAATACACCACAGGTTTGTTCTTGGAGGAGTGATCCTTGATTGCTACACTGTCATAAAACAATTTAGCTCTAATTACCATATGCATTTCCTTAACTGCTTCATTTATATTCTTTACAGTGGTTTTTCCCCATAACCACAAATTCATTATTTTATTACTGTACATAGTTTTAAAAGTTTTGCATACAAAAATAGTCAAAATATTAAGTTTTCCACAAGTCCTTCAAAAATTACACAGAATTTCCTCTTTCTCCACAGTATTTAAGAAAGCTCTCGAACAATAGTAAGTTCCACTGTGTTCTGAAAAGTCTTTAGCAAAGATACTGCTTGCCCATGATCAATACTGATGAAGCTATATCCATTAGCCTGGAAAAAAACAAAAACATTAATAAATTAAAAGTAAGTATTTTCAATAAGTTTTTAAACTTTGTTTTTGAACCTTATTTTTCTTTTTGAACATCATTCAAATGAATTCTAATTTATCATTTTCAGAAAACTTTGTTGTTGTTCCAATAACATGTCAATGGAGGAGCAATACAAAAGAGCAAACAAGTCCATATGTTCAACATACAGTCATTGCCACTATCTCCTACCGCTAGGAACTGAATTAACAAAATCATTATTGTCATTACCGTTAAGATAATAAAGCTACCAAATCCTGAAATGTTAAATCGCTAATTCAAACATTTTATCTGGAAACTTTACCAAATACTGTACTATTTTGCAATAATGATAATTCTTTCCCCTTTTTATTTAGAATCAAAGCTTTACATACAGTTATTTATTTTTAATAATTTGTATGTTGCCCTCAGAATTTTTTTTCAGGGTGGTTTACAATATGTGACAGAGAAAAGAAATAGTTATTTTAATAGACTTTTTACCTAATTATCTACAGAAAGGATGAAAAACAATAAAACTCAGAAAACTGACAGAATCTTGCAGGTATAACATTGTTGAAAAATAATTGATGACTAAATTACATTACCTGAATAATTTTATCTCCTGGCTGTAACAATTTTGATGCAGGTCCTTCAGGCTGTACTCTAGTTACAAAAATACCCTTCAAGAAAACAAAAACAGAAGTAGTATTCATCTTAAAATAAACATGTATTTGTACTGGATTAATAGTATCAGCAGAATTAAACTGGTTGTATTATTTTGAACAAAAAATGTTTCAAATCTAAAATTCATGCATGTTATTAAAGCCACTAACCACTAACATTATGTGTAGGCAAGGTATTAGTACAAAAAGGACAGTGAGTGGATATGTGGGACTCTGCAGCCCAATCTGGAGATAATATTACATTTGTAATATTGATATAAAATATGTGTACTCTAGGTAGTAGTGAAAATAAAGAATTGAAGTGAAACCAGCTTAATATTACAATATTAGATCATATCCGTCAGTACAGCACAAATAGAATATGTTCAGTGGGAATGGTTAATATTCCAAATCTTTTCTACTGCATGAAACTTTTATTTCTGCTTTGGCAAAGCTCCTGATCAGGAAGCTATCATAAAACTTCCAAGCATTCCCAAGCCTCCCCTCAGTTTTAAGTAATACAATTCTTTCACTCCAAAACTGTGAAGAGAGAATAGGCTATTTATCAACTGCAGGGGGTAATTGTAGTATGTAGATTTGCTAAAGCCTTATTGGTCAGAGGGACGATCATTAATTACATTGGTAATTGATCTCATGGATTCTGAAAAGTAGTTTATCAACCTACAGGAATCACTCTGGCACTGATTTTTGCTAGCTGGCATCTACAGGTTCCACTAGGCTGTTAAGTCTTCTCAATAATATAATAGATTCTACAGTGAAATTTGTTTATTTAGAGAACCATAAATTATGCTTACTTCCTAAATAGGGGAGACAGTGGGGGAGGCTAACACCAATGACTTGCAATCTTCCCTGCTGGGTTCCCCATTGTTTTGGGGGGAAGGTTGGAAATGAGTCATGACTGTGGGAGTGCTGGGACAGTCACAACTCTGATAGATCAGAGCTACCATTCTTTCGTTCAGCATAGTTGTATCTTCAAACAGTTGAGAGATATGGGTAGTCTTCCACCTACAAAGCCCTTAGTTTTAATAACATGATTTACAATACAGTGTAAGAAGGCTTATTTTAAAATAAATATTTTTGTCAACTTTAGAATGAGCATTGTTGCAGCCATCTTTTTCCTTCTCATTCCTAGTTGCCACATAGCATGGGGGGAGGGGGGTTTGCCAGGTGTTGCGCTAGACAAAACAGACTTTTTCTCTCGACTTTCTCTCATGGGAACCAAGGTCATCGGCTGCTCCCGAGACTGCAGGCTGGGTGTTTCATGAAAAGCCCGCCAACAAGCTGAGTGGGAAAACGTAGTTGCTTGCATAGTTTTGGGGGTGGGATTCCTTAACTTTGTATTGGGGGATTGTTATGCATCTCTTCAGACTTGGTTTTACTTTTGAAGTACCAATATTCTGTATCAATAAACATGTTTTTTGAGGAATTTGCAAGCCTCAGAGTTCTGCTTTATTTGTCTCTGTCGATCGGAATCTTGACAATCTTCTTGAAACAGAATTTTCTGATTATAATAACAGATGAAACTCATATAAACTTTCTTTGAACATTACATTGAATTAATTTTTATGACATCTGACATAATTTATATTGTTATTGTATAGTTAAATTATTTTCTATTACAAACTTTTTTTATGTTTTTTTCTTATTTTCATGGTGAACAAGACAGTTGTTTTTATCAAAAGAAGATTATGTAAATGAACAAACACCTTCATTTTAGTATTTTAATCCTGACAATTTGAAAACATTCTGAAAAGTTCATATTATAAAAGGTTGATGAAAAATAAATTTGCACACAAATTAGTGATATTGAAATTGATGTAGGAAATTAAAATTCACATTTTAAATATATTAATTATTATCTTTTATATTCATTATACAGATGTAAAAATATTGAATGGCATCTTGAGAAAAAAAATAATTTCCACTTTAAACCAAAAACAACTAAATGTTACCTGTTACCCCACAAATCTTCAGAAACTGAATAGCAAATAAACTACAGAAACAAGCCAACCAATGAGGACATGCCTACAGACTCAAGATTTGGTGTATATGTGAAGAGTTACAATTCACCAGTTAAGAAATGAAAGCAGGAAAGAAACAGATTGATAGAAAGTACTCATGATTTGGAATATGGTTCAAAATGATGTTTAATTATATAAAATTTTTGGATTTTTATGAAAGATTTATAAACAATGTATAAATAATGCATGAAAAGCATTGGCAAACAAAATATTCAACACTGATGTACAAATTTATCAGTATATTTGTAATATTTGTAGTTTCATTTTTTTCAAATGGTAAACAGTGCCTCAATGGATAAAGGATAAATATTCATTTAAAGAAAGTATTTTTAATTAATACTCACATCATCATCTGGTCTAAAGGGGTTTCCTCTACCCCCAATTCCTCCTGATATACTAAATCCAAGTTCTGGATCTTTTTCAATTCTTACTCGAATCTAAAATATAAAACATAATATTTAAAAGCAGGCTACTTACATATTCAATCCTGTGAAAATGAAGATAATCAATCCAATTATCTTGAACATGTTAGAGATATTATTTTTACAGTTGTTTTGTTTATTTATTTTACAGCTGTTTTGTTTATTTATTGTTTATTTACATATTGTGTAGTTTTGTAAACTACACTGAAGGGAACTTTTAAGTCAAAAGTTAACTCTTTAAAATAAATAAAATGTATCTAAAATTTTGATAACATTCCTAAGTGATGCCTATGAAAGTAAAATAGTATTGTGATAATAAACCCATTATCATTTTTGTAAGCCTGAAAGAGGCCACAGTGGAAGAAAACAGCAAAACAAAATCGCAATTAAATATAATTTTCAGTGCTTAATTACGGGAATGAAATCCATAATCTATTAACTGATCCATAAAATAGAAATGTCTCCCTTACTTCTTGCTTTGATACCTCATGGCATTGTCTGGTTGGACCTTGAGGCTGATTATAGGGAGGTTGATGGGCAACTTTAAGCATCAGATAATCAATCAGTTGTTCTCTGGAAGGGTGTCTTGCCACCGAAGTTTGAGGTCCAGCATGATGGATTTGACTATAGTTTGGCTGAGGTCTTGAAGGATGACCCATCTGCCCATTCATCAAAGGTATCTGAATAAATGAAACATCTCTAAGTGAATATTTACACCAGCAAGAATATATTGACTTACTCAGCTGTTCTGTTTATACACAGACACATGCACAAAAACAAACATTGTATTTTTAACATACAATATACTTTCTTTCTGACTTCTAAATGGCAAATCTATTCACTTTCACTTGGAATTGTTCTTACTGATAGTCAAAGTTTAATATGACTTATAAAACATTTGAGAACTTGCTAATGTATTTCATGGTCCCATATCTCTCAGATGTTTCATTTCCAGAGAAAATGAAGTGACAATCACCTAGTTATTAACTCCTAGGGCACTTTTTAATAGAAGGTCTGGTTGAATAAGCAATGTTGACAAAAACTACACTAAATGAATACAAACAATATAAAGAAAGCAGAAAAGTTAAAGATGGTGAAGGGATTTGACAAGAATAAAACCAAGTTTCTCTAAATCAGGGATATAGTCACAATCTTGGTACAAAGTCAACAAGCTCAAGAATTTGTAAATATGTTCGTGCCTTTCATTGAGACAGAATATACAGTATGTGGAAGTTGAGCATTCTGAGCAGCCTCAGCTATGATGGTTAAAGGATAAATGCTAGAAATTGCAGTACAACATTATCTAGATACACAGGAGTTCCTTCTATCAACTTCTAAAAAAGATATATAGTAACATAATCAGCTCCAATTGATTAAAGTAAATTGAATTCTTACTGACCTTAATTCAATGGGTTATTACAAAAGTACTGATTTTTTTACATGACAATAGTTAGAGCAGAGAGCTGGATGTGGGAGGGGGAAAGAGATTCAGGGTAACCACATCCTAGAATCTCTATATATATCTAGTAGGGTAGAGTGTTACAGCTTTAGTTTGGTAAGATTTTGTCCATTGGATAAAAGCAAATAAAAGATAAGTCTTGATTGGATTTTGTTGGACCTGATATTATTGGTCTTATTACCTCAAATATTTCTCTAAATCCCTTGAAGAATAAACTTCATAATGAAGGCTTTGCATTTGGATAAAAGTCTACGCATACAGTATTTTGTAATATAGTTCCACCTTAGGTATGATAGCCAGCTGAATGACTTTAGGCCAGTCAGTTTCTGTCAGCCTAACCCACCTCATGCTTGAGTTAAATAATAAAGGTGTAATAAAAATCTAATAATAAATAACTAAATAAAAAAGTCCCTCATTGATTATATTACTCAGTTTAGCGTTAGTGGACAACATTTTTCATCATCAGTTTTTGTTATGTAAATTTCCTATGCTATTAATTTTTTCTTGACCTTTTACTTGTCCAACTCTTGACTTAATTCTTTTTAGCCAGCATTTCTAGGAACTCTAGCTGGCTGTCATTCCTTCATTTCCTCCCCATCAGTTTATATCTCATACAATACTGCTTAGGCTCATCATATATCTCTGATATTTAGCTTAATGCTAATGTCCTTAAAAGTGTTATTACTTATAGCTGGTGCAATACTGGCAGCAGGTCTCTCATCCATGTACAATTTACCTTAAAAATAAGCTGTGATTAATTTTCTTTGCACTGAGACAGACTTTGCTCTGATTTAAATTTGCTCTGGCTGCCCACAAACCAAAGAATGTATCAAATCTGCCCATTTCTCCCTCCTGGTTCCCTTATCAATTGATAACTATCCGAATAGCACTAAACCTCCACTGTAGATGAAGAATAGCAGGAGTGCTATGGTCATATACTTTTCTTTTTTAAACAATATCCAGCCTGTACTTTCTTTCTCAGATCAGTTCCTGCAAATCCCTTGGCATTAACTTACACTGGCCCTGTCCTTTTCACAGATGGGTCACTTTCTGCAGCTAGAACAAAAGCAGTCCAATGTTTCATTGCTTCTAGTCCTACTTTTGACTACTAGTCTGTCTTTTCAACTTCATATGACGTAACTGGAGCCCTAATTATAATGAAATACTTCACCGTTTCACAACATTGTTTAAAATTTGAATTACTTTAATGATTAAGTAAGTAAGGGTAGGCAGGGAGGTAATGCATACCGTGGACATACCAGTACAAATAGACATTAAGTGCTAATGCCCAGGGACATATTATTATTATTATTATTATGGTTCACAGACAGCCAGATATTTTGACTACACTTGGGATTCTTATCCACCTATCAAATCCCTTGCAAGAACCTGGGATAGGCAGATGTTTTTGTTTGATGGTTGTTATTATTATGGTTCATCACACAGTCAGCCAGATGTTTAGACTGGATTTGGCTTTTTTATTCACCTATCGAGTCTTTCCCAAGATCCTGTGATAGGCAGCTATTACTACTATTATTATTTGTTAGTCCTCATGGGCACTGAGTATCTACTTCATTGCTACAAAGGTAACAATTTTATATTTTACTGAAAAGAACGATGTTTAACTGAAAAGAGAGGAACAATCTTTCAATCTGCTACTGGCAGCAACCGCAGAGGAAGAGACGAGGATAAAGCACATGACCCTAAAGGTCATATATGTAAAATTAACATTTAAACAATACTAATTACTATTACTACATTACAGTCACATATGATTAATGAATCTTATAGTTTATTACCTGCACAGGAAGTTTTTTAATGGTATCTGGAACAGCCTCTTTCAGACCAAGTGTGGCAGTTGAATAATTCTGCTGTCCAGAAATGAATACATCCTCCTCTACTGGATTGGATGTTTGGGGATGCTGAAAATTACAAATAAAAGCATGTAAACATTTCTGCTATATACCAAAGCGAGTTAACCCTCTTTCATGCTGTTCACAAGTTTGTTTCTTTATTTTGCCTTACAAATTATGTCATTTAGTTTGTATACATACCTCTTAATAGTAGCTTTGCTATTTATTTTCTCCTAGGAATTGAAGTATAGCATGACTTTGGACAATTGGACATGCTATTCAATGACTGCTGCACTTGGTGCTTCAGTTTAAAGTAAAAGGAAAGACCTTGAACTGTGGATCTATCACATTTATTTTCCCCAGGGAAGCAATATAGAACAGGGCTTTTCAACCAGTGGTATGGGTACCACCTGTGGTACATTGGCACCTGGCAGGTGGTACGCAACCATCCTAGAAAAGTGGTAGCGGGGGAGGGGAATGAGCTGAACCGGTGGCAGCACCGCACAAGCCTGAGCGAGAGATGGCTGGAGCTGCAGGGCTGTGCGGAAGCGCCAGGATCAGCGCCAGGCTCCAGCTGATCGGCGCTTCTTCGGGGCTGTCAGGGTTCAGCGAAAGCGCCAGGATCAGTGCCAGCCTTCAGCTGTTGCTCGGCGCTGATCCTGGCGCTTCTGCTGAGCCCTGAAGAAGCACCAATCAGATGGAATGTTGCAGCATCTCCAGGCTCTTGTGATTTACATTCAGATGCTTGGCAACTGATTCATATTTATGACGGTCACAGTGTCCCAGGGTCATGTGAAGTGACCAAAACCTGCTGCAACCACCCAGCAGATGGGGGAAATAAAAACCAAACACCCTCCACCCCACCCCTGCTGCCGGATGGGCAGGCAGGTGTCTTGCTCGGCTGTGGCTTGGGGGGCACTTTTTTCAGTGCCATTGTAACTTCAAACAGTCACTAAGCGAACTGTTGTAAGTCGAGGACTACCTGTACTTTATTACTTTTTTCCTTTTTTTTTTTGGTCATCAAGTTTTTGACACCTTGCTGGTGGTACTCGGATGTTGCCATATCCTAAAAGTGGTACAATGGGTGAAAAGGTTGAAAAGCCCTGATATAGGAAACCATAGGAAACCAAATTAAAGACCAAAGCTATACACAGGAAGAATATGGTTTTATTAAATTACAGAAGTTCATAGTTAGTTTTGCCCCTGAATTAGGCAGCAAAAAGTTGAAAAATGAAAGAAACTATAGAAGTGGACATGATGTAAGGCAAGCGGACATGGACATATACATAGGACCATAGTATGTCTAAAAATGATACTAGTGCCAAAAATGGGAGAAAGAGAAAATATACCAATAGAAATCAAAAGTCTGCGTAGTCAGTGTGATGGAGGACCAGAGTGAGAACTGGATTTTTTTTACTCAAAAAGCCATATTTTTAAAGTGCTGTGCATGGAGAAGCAATCCAGACTTGAAAATAAGACTACTTATGGAAGGAAGGAAGCATAAAAGATAGTCACATTCATATCTGATCGATAAGATGAACAAATCTGATTAGATCAATTAGACGAACACATGACAGGAAAGTAGGTTCAACTTTAATCATACTAGAGTACATCCACTATTACAAGAGAATTTCTATTAATGTAACAGAACTTCTTTCTTATGTGGTCTGCAGCTTTGGTCCACAATGTCCCCAACCACCAAGAGCAGATTCAAGGGAATCTTGTAAAGATGTAGTGTAAAGGAGAATAATCAAGAAAAATGAAAAATAGCAAAATCTTTATTATATATATTTTAATCTGTGAATAAGTAAATTTATAAATTAAGCTCTATTATTACTTTTAAACATGAATATGTAAAGAAATATATTTATCTGCATTAAAAAGATTTATGTTTTGAAATTAAAAAAAAAAACCCCAAACCTTACAATTCAGAATGCTTGATCAACTTGGAATAAAGTTGAATCAGTTAAGAAATTCAAAGTAAGAGGCTATCTATTTATGTTTAAAATTATAGTGGTGCTGAACAAATGGTAGTTATGCCTGAGTCCTATAAGTTACAGTTGTTGCAGTGCTCTTGTTGTCATGTGATCAAAATTTGGGTGTACTTATGACTATAGGTAACTTCAACTCCCCCCACCCGTATCTTCTCTCATCTCTGCTCTTAGCTGCCCCGCACTTCGCTTCTGCCAGCTCAGCCACTTTCTGTTCCACTGTGTGTGGTGCCTCTGGCTAACCTTCACAAGTGTGCCTGGACTTTTGCAAGGCAGCTCTTAACCAGGCCAGGCTTTTTTCCTGAGGCTGTTCATGCTCTTGTCCAATTTGGAAGGCTCACAAACTTGAAATTTGGACAAGGACACATTGGCCTTAGGAAGAAAGCAGCTGCCTTACAAAGGGCTAGGCGGGTGAACCTTGACAGCAGTGGGAGAAAGAAGATAAGAGAAGATCAGCTGGAGGGTGGCAAGACCTTTTGTAGCAGGGTAGCCAAAGGGCAGAGATGGGGAGAGCTAGGTAGGTGTGGGTAGCTGAAGTGGAAGTGGGACTGGGACAAAGCTGGGAATGGCTTGAGTCAGGGTAAATCCTTACAACGGGATAGGATTTGGTTAACAATGGCAACTGGGATAAAGTTTAAGCCGCAGATATTTTTGTTGGGTATTATGGAAGACTTGGATGCAAAAGAAATGGAATTGATGTTGAACTTTATAACTGCTGCAAGACTACTAGTAGCTCAATATTGGAAAACGGAACGTTTACCCACTATAGAAGAATGGTCACTTAAAGTTTCGAACCTAGCAGAAATGGCCAAGATTTCCGCTTATGTGAAGGACTACTCACAAGAAAGATATATTTTGGTTTGGAGAAGATGGATAGATTATATTGAGCGCAAATATGGGACCAAAAAATATCATTTGGTTTTTGAGTGAATTTTAGAGTATTATTGTTGTACAAAGCTTAGAATAGGTTATTTAGTACTATTTTTGATTATTAAAGTGATGTTATTATTATTGTTTTTAATAACTGTATATATTTGTTTAAAAGAGAGTTAAAGGAGGTTATAGATATGTTATTTTAATAGTTGATTAATGTTATTTAGAGTATGATTATTTTATTGTTAACCCTGTGATTGGCACTGGGAAGTGAGGGGGGAGGGAGGGGGAGTGGAAGGGTGGGTTGGGGAAAGGGGGGATTTATATTGTAAAATTTTATAAAATTTTCAATTAAAAAAATGGCAACTGGAATTATCATGACTAAGCTATATGGTCCTGTGACATTGTGCCTTATGACTGCATCACTTCATGATGGAAATTCTGGGCTCATTTACTGTTATAACCTGAGGACTCCCTGTTATGTTTATATTTCATAAAAATCTTTTAAGTCATCTGCCAATGCAACAAATAAACTCATTCCATACATAAGCTATCCCACAGAATAAAACATGCCGATGAGCATTTGTAAAATCAGAAGATGATCTGCTGTTTGGCTCAGAGCAGGAAATGCAGTCCTATTAAGGGGACAGGTGGATTCTTGCATTATTCTTAAATCATTACCTTTTTAAATCATTATAGTAATGAATAAAATCAAACATGATAAAGATTTCACAAATTGCAAAAATGCAATTGCAAGACATTTCCAATTTTTTTTCAACAAGCATTTTATTAGGAATGTACTCACACGAAGAACAGGTACACCAGAACTTCTTCCATCTGCAACACTCAAAGCAACATTGCCCTGGCTGCCATGCAGATCCCTAGAGCTGCCATAGTAAAAGTTGCTAACTGGAGCATAATTTGAATTAAAGGACCGTGACAGCATGCTCTGAATAAAGAGGGGACAGATAATAAGATAATAGAGATTAGTGCAGCATGCATAAATCACAAGACATGTTATACACAAAGTCAGTACAGACACACAGATTGCATATCATGTTATAACCATGCAAACAAAGAACAGTCCCGCTGTGAATACAAAATCTCGGTTACATGCCATGTGATTTTTCACAATATAAATGAACATGCTGTCTGACATAATCACCACAGAAAGCACAGTATACACCATTCATTTGCTAGGACCGCCTCTCCTTATCTGCCCATCCCACAAGATCAGATAGCGTGGGCATGCTCCAGATCCTCTTCCTGAAATCTTGCCATCTAGTAAGACCTTGGAAATGTACTGTCAACGCTGTGACAATGGATGTCGTCACTCTGACAACTGAGAATCAGCAGCCATTTTTACTTTTGCTTCTAACGTGCCTTTTATATTCTTTTAGAGTTCAGGTGTAGAGGGGGGGATGGGGTAAATGCTTTGAGGGTTTAGCTAGCCATAACAATGTAGAAGGGTGGGAACTCAAGGACATGGTCTGATAAGGTTTTGGTGGGCGGGCACGCTTGTGTTAATTGGGGAATGTGATTTATGACAGCATTTGTGGGGTAGAAATTGCAACTTGCTACTTTGAATCTGGGGGGAGGGAAACTCAGTTTTGGGTTCAACTATGTAAGTGCCGATACTTTGTTTCCTAATAAAATGTTCTTTAAGGAAGAATTCTTGCCTTGAAGTTCTTTTATCGGTTTCATCTATCAGAACCATGACATGTACCTTTTCCATGGCTGCTCTAAACTTTGAAACACCCTCCCTTTCAGAAGATCTAGCTTTTTAGTAGGTGGTGGGATAGGATTGTATAGGTAGAACGTATGGAAGGAGGGCAGCTGACCCTGCTATGGGCATCCCAAAGGGATGATTCAAGCTCAGGTTTTTTGTTTTATTGTTTTACTCTTTTTCCTCTTGCATTACTGTTTTACTTATTGGTTTTATTGTTGTGATAAGCTGTCCAGTGTTGCTTAAGAGGGTCACTCATATAAAACTTTAAAACTTTGAAAGAAATAAAGATAAAGATGGCCAAGGAAAATAAATCCTCAGTTGTCCGATTTGAAATGTCTTCATACTATTTATTTTTTATTTTTAAAAAAAACCAGAGATAACATTCCCAATATTTCCTTTATTTTCCAATGTTTATGATTATTTTTCTAAATAAGACAGAAATAATTGCAAAAAAGGCAAAGTCTTTGCAAATTAGTGATCCTGAGAAATAAAGGTGTCTTATAAAAAATAACTGTCCTTTGGAGGGGCATTTTTGCACCCCACAGGGTGGCAGCACAGCGGTGTCCCATTTTTGCACCTGAGGCGCGGTGGCATTTTTTTGCATTCTTGCATCCCGCGGCACCCCGTTTTCACACCCGAGGTGCACAACAGCAGCCCGTTTTCGCACTCTGCAGCACGGTAGCATCCCATTTTGCACCCCCGCAGTGCGGCGGCACCCCATTTTTGCATCCCGCAGAACGGCATCCAGTTTTCACACCCCGAGGCACGGTAGCGTCCCATTTTTGCACCCCACGGTGCAGCAGCATCCCATTTTTGCAGCCCGAGGCATAGCAGCGTCCCATTTTTATGTCCCGCAGCTTGGTGGTGGGGTCCTTTTTGCGCCCCATGGCATGGCATCCCATTTTTGCACCCTGCAGCCCACAGGTTGGGGACCCCTGGGTTACTGAACAGACAATATCATTTCAAGACACAGTGGACATCCTTTCCTAGAAATGTAGGACAGTTAGGCCATCAGGGAATGAGCTGAGCTGAGCTTTTATAACAAGGAAAGAATTTGCTAACACGGCAGCTATCGATTGAGGGTAGAAATTGTTCCACAAATTGGAAGAAAGTTGGGAATACATAAGGATTTTATGGAATCTGAAATGGTTTTGATAAATGAGATCACATCAGGTCCTTATCATTGGCAAAAATACAAGAATGGTGATCAGTTTGTGGCACAAATAGCTACCAATATATTTAACAAAAGACACCAAGAAAATAGCTTTAAAGATGGATAGATCATAGTCACCATAAGTTTAAACTTGTTCAATGAATACAAACCTATACAGGAAAAAGCAAAGTCAAACAACCTGGAGAAACTGGTAGTTTAACTGACATTAAAATGTGTTACGAAAGAAAAAGAAAAAAACTAAACAATGTTTTATTTCAACATAAACAAACAAATAAAAAGTGACAAATATACAAATTAAAAGAAAACAAAATCAGGTACTGGGAAATTGGTGAGTAGGAAGAGAAAAACAAGTAAAGGAGCAGTAAAATATTGAGCCAGTCTCATAATACTTTGGACCTCAGTGAAGAAATGTAATAAGAAATACACCATCCAGATAAGGAATCTTGAGAGTAGAATTGTTAAAGTTATAGCTATCATATGACTAATATACAGTTAGTGCAAAAATGGCATAATCCAACCTAGGCAGACACATAGATATAATAGTTTTGCTTTGCAGATTTTCAGAAATGAGATATCCATAAACAAGGGGTTGTTGTTGTTTTTTGCAGAAACCAGAATAATTTCAGCAGGAGATCCGACTGAGCAAAATATTTATGTAAGGGTGTATCTTTTTGATAAATATGAGCCAGTCCAATGGCCATACCTTTGATTAAACTTCATGATATACTGGTAAAAATCAAGATCTTTCAAGTACTGAAATAATTATAGCAAAATGGACAGGTTCATTTTTAAGGCCTGATACCACACAAAATTTGGTATCCAGAACAAGTCTTTGGCACACAGTATATGAATTATAGTTTTAAGTGTTACCATCTGGATGAATGGATGTAAATGTTATTGAACTAAGGCGGGGTGCAGATTTCCATGTTTTCCCCCAGAAGGCAATTTTGGAAATAAAAAGTTTGAATGAGAGACTCAGCAAGAATTTATTATTTCTAGAAAAGTTTTCAGACTTCAATATGCAACATAAGAGTAAAGGGGAAATTTAGTGGAGTTCTGTGAATAACAATGAATGAATGATTGATCGATTGATTGAATGAATGAATCAATGAATAGAATGAATGAATCAATGAATGGAATGAATGGTCTTTCCTTTCCAAAGCATATACCTTGGAAATGTACAGGCTTGGACACCATATTGGAACTCAGAGACTACTTTGACTACAAAGACCTTGCCCATAATGAAATATATTGATTTCATCATAGTTTATCATGAGCTACTATGAAGTCATTTTGCATGGTTATTGCTGTTGCTTCTTATTGGTTACAGTCTTGTTCCCAAAACAAAAACTGTTAAATATATTCAGGTATATTAAGAAGAAGCTTCTCCCATCTCTATAGCCATAAGAAATGTCTTGGCTTCATTTGTTTTTTTACTGGTTGTTGTTTATGAGTTTTATTGAAGTAATATAAATTGCTTGCTTCCTGCTGGGCTCAAAATAGTTTGTGCTAGATTATATTACAATTAATTGTTTTAATTCAATTCTATTATTTCCTAAGACAATTTTGAAAAATATATTTTTTAAAAAAAAAATCCTATTGTCGATCTTCTTGTAGGGTAGGCAATAGCACTCAGCCTGAACTACCATCCTATTTTTGTGGCTTTAAAGTAAAAAAATATATTAAAAAGAACAGGGGTTTGTTTTAATTTCTCCTTATACCCTATGATATAAAACGTAGAAAAGGTTTGAGCATTTTAAGCCAATGGAACACTCAAGACATTTCAAATTTTGTTCCAGGCCCTCAAAACATTCTTAATATGGCCCATATTGTGTCATTTTATTCCATGCATTTTTTTCTTGCTTTCCCTCTCCTAATAGATACTGCTGAGGGAGAAAACTAAAATAGACTACATACTAAAAGTACTTTTGTAAATCAAGTGGAGGTAGGCATAAATTAAATACAATATTGTGCATGAGAGAGAAAAATATCCATCAATCATTTCCCAAGATTCTGTGGAGGGATAGAGGAAAAGAAATATGCTATTGCTATTGCCATTCAAATCTAGAGCAAACAGACTTTCTATCTAAAAAACCTAATGGCAGTCTAAGACAGTCTCATATTCCTAAAATATACTATTAACTGATTGAAATTGGTTAGAATTAGAACATTTTTTTTAAAAGATCCACTTTACACACTGTGTTTCATGTGTTTGTGTATTTTACTAATACTTTGGGCCAGTTATTCTCTCTCTCAATCCAACCTTCTCACAAGGTTGGTGTGGGGAAAACAGAAGACAAGAATATTAGATATACAGTGAGGGGGGCAATTATTTGATCCCCTGCTGATTTTGTACATTTGCCCACTGACAAACAAATGATCACTCTGTAATTTTAATGGTAGGTTTATTTTAACAGTGAGACAGAATAACAACAAAAAAATCCAGAAAAACGCATTTCAAAAAAGTTATAAATTGATTTGCATTTTAATGAGTGAAATAAGTATTTGATCCTTTCACAAAACATGACTTAGTACTTAGTGGCAAAATCCTTGTTGGCAACCACAGAGTTCAGACGTTTCTTGTAGTTGGCCACCAGGTTTGCACACATCTCAGGAGGGATATTGTCTCATTCCTCTTTGCAGATCCTCTCCAAGTCATTAAGGTTTTGAAGCTGACGTTTGGCAGCTCAAACCTTCAGCTCCCTCCACAGATTTTCTATGGGATTAAGGTCTGGAGACTGGCTAGGCCACTCCAGGACCTTAATGTGTTTCTTTTTGAGCCACTCCTTTGTTGCTTTGGCCGTGTGTTTTGGGTCATCCATGACCCATTTTCAATGCTCTGGCTGAGGGAATCAGCCGTCAAATCACCCAAGATTTGACGGTACATGGCCCCATCCATCGTCCCTTTGATGCGGTGAAGTTGTCCTATCCCCTTAGCAGAAAAACACCCCCAAAGCATAATGTTTCCACCTCCATGTTTGACGGTGGGGATGGTGTTCTTAGGGTTATAGGCTGCATTCCTCCTCCTCCAAACGCAGCAAGTTGAGTTGATGCCAAAGAGCTCAATTTTGGTCTCATCTGACTACAACACTTTCACCCAGTTCTCCTCTGAATCATTCAGATGTTCATTGGCAAACTTCAGATGGGCTTGTACATGTGCTTTCTTGAGCAGGGGGACCCTGCGGGTGGCTGCAGGATTTCAGTCCTTCACGGGATAGTGTGTTACCAATTGTTTTCTTGGTGACTATGGTTCCAGCTGCCTTGAGATCATTGTCAAGATCCTTTCGTGTAGTTCTGGGCTGATTCCTCACCATTCTCATGATCACTGAAACTCCACGAGGTGAGATTTTGAATGGAGCCCCAGACCGAGGGAGATTGACAGTTATTTTGTGTTTCTTCCATTTGCGAATAATCGCACCAACTGTAGTCACTTTCGCACCAAGCTGCTTGGTGATAGTCTTGTAGCCCATTCCAGCCTTGTGTAGGTTTACAGTCTTGTCCCTGACATCCTTGGACAGCTCTTTGGTCTTGACCATGGTGGAGAGTTTGGAATCTGATTGTCTTTTATACAGGTAACAAGCTGAGATTAGGAGCACTCTCAGCTTGTTACCTGTATAAAAGACACCTGGGAGCCAGAAATCCTTCTGATTGATAGGGGATCAAATAACTTATTTCACTCATTAAAATGCAAATCAATTTATAATTTATTTGAAATGCACTTTTCTGGATTTTTTGTTGTTATTCTGTCTCTCACTGTTAAAATAAATCTACCATTAAAATTATAGACTGATCATTTCTTTGTCAGTGGGCAAACGTACAAAATCAGCAGGGGATCAAATGCTTTTTCCCCTCACTGTATTTGCCACCTTCAGTTATATTACAGATAATCCTTGGTTAACGTTAGTAACTGGAACCAGAATTTTTGTCACAAAGCAATGCAGTTATAAAACATGACATCATATGACTGCATTGCTTAGCAATGGCAGTCCCAGAACTCTCTGTCGTCATCATTAAGTGAGAATCAATAGGGAGAAAGTTATGAAAACTGAAGGAATCAAAATTCCTTTTAGAAATAACATCAAGAGTCTGGATTAAGATGGTAACTACAAATAGCATCCTTCAAGGATCCTGGCATTCTTCCAGCTTACAATATCAAATACACCAAAGGTTAGAAGTACTTTAACAAGAACGTTAGAAGTGAATACAGAATAAGGGTAAAGATCTTAAAGTCCAAACTCAGTGGAGGAAATACCATCAAAGCAATTAACACTTGGCAATTCCAGTAATTAGATACACAGCTGGAATAGTAGACTGGACTCATATAGAAGTAAAAACTGTAGATGGGAAGACCAGAAAAAATGATGACAAGGAATCATGACCTTTATCCATGCAGTGATGTTGATAGACTCCACTTACCAAGAAAAACAGGTAGGTGTAGAATTTTGCAAGTATACCAGGCAGTTGAAGAAGAAAAAAGGGCACTAGGAGAATATCTGAAGTGCAGTGAAGAAGATATGTTGAAGCTAGTATACGAGGAAGGCTTACTGAGTACTAGAGAGACCAAACTGGCCTAAAGAAAGACCAAATGAAGACTAGAAAAGAGACATGGAAGGTAAAGCATTACAGGGCTAGTACATAAAAAATAGCAGACAAAGCAGATAACAATAAGGTCTGGTAATAGCTAAGAGCAGGAAGTTGAAGAAAGAAACAGAGGACCTAATTACAGCAGCACAAGACCAAGCCTTAAAAACAAATGCATACAAAGCCGAAATTGAGAAGACAGCAATAAACAGCAAGTGTTGCCTTTGCAAAGAAGCTGAAGAAACAGTGGACCATTTAGCTGCTGCAAGAAGACTGCACAGATTGACTACAAACCATGGCATGATCAAATAACAACAGTAATATATTGGAAGTTCTGCAAGAAATGCCATTTGCCTGTAAGAAAGAATTGGTGGGATCACAAAACAGATAAAATCACAGAAAATGAAGAAGTTAAAATGGTCTGGGATTTTAAAATTCAAACGCATAAACACCTGCCACATAACATCCCACACTTAAAAAATATCAATAACAGACAAAACATCTGAATAGTAGATGTTGCAATAGCTGGAGACAACATATATACAAAAAAGAACTGAAGAAAGATCACAATATACAAAGACCTGCAAACAGAAGTAGAATGACAAAAGAAAGCAAATATAGTGCCAGTAGTAATAAGCACCCTGGGTATAATCTCAAAATCTCTGGAGCACCACTTGAACATCAACAGCATTGACAAAATCCTCATCAATCAGTTGCAAAAAGCAGTTTACTTTGAACAGCTTATATCTTGCAACAATACCTTTAATATCATCAAACAACATCTGCCTTGGGAAGGACTTCATAGGTGGATAAAATGCCAAATTCAAACTAAACATATGGCTGACAGTATGCCCCCAACAGTAATATATAAGGTTCATAAACCAGAAACGTCTATCTGCAAATCTACATTTAAAGGAAAATAGTACCTGAAACATCCAACATTATAAATAAATATTGAAGAAAAGCTTTCCTCTACTCCAAGATATAATTGCTGAAGACATACTAAGAGGATGTTGACCCCTACCAGAACAGACCAACATCAATGGATATGAGGCACATAAACCAATCATTTACACACCATAATGTAATTCCATGTATAAATACACACACACAGAAACACTAACTTTGGCAAGGATGACTGATGGCCTTTTTCCTTTTGGTTCCCCTCTGGGTTTTATTTTCTTTGTCATCACTCTTCTGTCTTGGTATATGTATGAATTTGCATGTGTGTGTGTTCGTAAATGTTTTTAAAAAGTGTAAATCACCCCTGAGCTAACTGGTAGTGGTGCATAATAATAAACATGGATAAATTCATCATACATTTGTCAGTGCAAAGGGAAAGTGATTCAGCAAAAGAACAGCCACCGAAGGAATTAAAACTGGTACTTTTTCCCCTTTTTTTCTAGTTTGTAATATTTTATTAGATTATAGAATAAAATACAAAAGCAAATAGTAGGACCCAGTGGGGAGGAAAAAGGGGGGGAAAGTGAGGGGGAGAAGGGAAAAAGAACAGACTTGCTCTGTTGCAGTAGAAGAAAGCATTAACATTGAACCTCAACTTTTTACTTTTCCATAATATTATAAACTAGCCATTTCTATAACAACAAATGAATCTTATCAGTAAAACCCAAAATCCCCCCCTTTTTTTTAGTCATCAAGTTTTTGACACCTTGCTAAGCACTGGTGGTACTCAAGTATTGTCATGTCCTAAAAGTGGTACAATCTGTGAAAAGGTTGAAAAGCCCTGCACTAATAGTCTTCAATGTTATACGAGGCCAAATTAGTCTTATATTTAACCGTTTACCATATCAGCAGTTTTCCTCTAATCCTCTACTACTGTTATATCAGAAAACTAGAAAATACAAGTTCTTGTGATCCACCAACCCCATATTGGGGGGGAGACTGGAAACATATGGAAAGGCAACAAGTGGTACAAAAGAGATCAATACAGAGATCAATATTTGTGTAAGGATAAGTAGAGACTGAGAACAAAAAAAAAACCCCAGCCTGATGAAATTTCTATGTGAACTTTTACAAAGATATATATTAGATTGAATTTATCTCAAGATTCAAGTTACTGTGTTACTAGATAGATATACGTAGACCTTGACATTCAACCATAATTGGGTCTGGAATTATGGTCATAAGTTTTTCCAGTCATTAAGTGGGTTACCATGTGACTGATTTTATGATCTTTTTTGAGACTGCTGCCAGGAATTTTGAATTTAGTTCTTTAAGTAGCCTGGGGAAACTGACTGTAATTTCAAACATCTAATAAGTGACTGGTTGTAAATTGAGGATTACTTGTATATTTCCACTTTCCTAGTACCCCAGAAAAGTTAAATTATTTGAAAAATTACTATCAGCCCTTGGGAAGTAAGTATATATTTGGTATTTATCACTTTCACAAAAATGTATTATCAGCAAAGTAATAACCATGTCACTTTGGTAGGATATTATATTATCTCGGTATTTCAAACATGCTGCTGAAGATGGTTACAGTTTCATCTGCTTAGATGTGATTAATGTTAAACTTTATGGTAATAATTTTCTTGATGATTTTAGAGTTCTTCCTTCTATACAAATCATACTATGTATTATAATAAAACATCTAGCCGACTATTCCTAAAGCTAATTTACCTATTTTATGAACATGAGTTTATTACTAAACAAATTTTTTAAATTTTAAACTATAATATCACAACCATACATTCTTTAAAATGGCAGACTTTTACCAGCTTAATAAAAAAGAGACTGCTGGGTTCAAGAAGAAGTAAAATTGTTTACCTTTTCTAACTTTTTGGCCTCTATGTGCCGTAGTACTTGTTCCCTCCAGTCATGAGGAACTTTATTTTTTCCAGTAGGATCCATCAGAGAGTATTCAGAATTAACTCTTGGATTTGTTCTTTTAGACGGACTAGTCCTTGAGTAATTGAAGTCACTGACTGACATAGTTCTCTCTGGTATATCATTTGCTGAAGGACGGGCACTCTGAGGTCGGGTTACATTTGGTCCATCAATGCTATGTGTTCTTGCAGAAAGAGGTCTCTGTTGCCCTGACAATTTGGGTGGGACTCTTCCCACTGAATGCAAATCCCTATACGTTAAATAATCCCCCTCAGAAACCAGAGGACGGCGTGAAGATCCAGAATCAACATTAACTGAAGCAGCAGAAGACGCACTACTCTGTCGCTGAAGAGTATTTCGGGTTGCACTAGAAGGATGCCTGTCATTTGGTGAAACAGCCCACATTTCCATATGTCTACCACCCATCCTTTGATGCATATTGTAGGCAGCACTAGCTCTAACATTATTATGGTTAGAGAAATTCATATTGGCTGAATGTTTTGCAGAAGTACAGCTCTCTGTACTGTCCAGCCTTGGTAAGCGCTGAGAGGACAAACAACTTTGTTCGGCTATAGGATTTTGTTTTTGGAGCCACAAAGACTCTTTGGGTACAATATTGCTGCTATATTGTATATTATATTGGGGGGTAGCGAATGGTTGTGGAGAATTCGGTCCTTGCCCTTTAACTGTATTGGTATCTTCAGGATTATGATTGAAATCAAATTTAATTGCTGTTTTTGTAGATACTAAATCAGAGGATGATGAACATCCAGGAAACACTTGTAATGGCTGATCATATAGGAGAGTAGCTGACTTACTCCGGACTATATTTTTTCCATCTGCAGCCATACCTGCTGATTTTATTGCAGGATTGGCGTGCTGGGATCCACTGTCATTTATAATATCATAGACTTTTAGAGCACCTGTCTCCATGTTAGTTATGCTATGGGATTTCACCACTGGCCCACTCCTCTGTGGAGACAAGTCTTCAGTACTTTTTGAAAGACACAATTCTGAAGAAGAATCGGTATCAATGGTGGCACTTCTCTTTAGCTCTGACTTTCCTGCAGAGTGTGGCATGTCTTCAGAATGTCCATTGATACTATTTACTGGACATACATTTGAATATTTATTTTCATTTTCCAACTGTTCAATTTCTTCTTTCATATGGTCATTTATCAAGTCCTTAATTGACATTTCTGTTGATTTTATTTGATTCACTACATTAGATTGTAGTCCCTCTTCAGCTAATTTGCAAATATTCCTGTTGATCTGATGCAAGTTATGAGACTCATCAGTGGCATTGTTTAGTTCAACACCTTTCTCTAGTAAGGCTAATTTCTTCTCAATATTTAAACTGAATTCAGATAGATTTGTGATTTTATCTTGAGAGTTCAATTTTTCTTCTATCAGAACATTTACTTCTCCATTTTGTAAAAGACTGTTAGAATTTTCATCTTCTTCCCTGTAAAATAAAGCAATCATAAATATAAGAGCAATTTTATAAAATGACCACATTTGATAAATGCATTTTAAAAGAAAGTAGCATTAAGCCAGATTAGATAATTGTGTAGAGACAAAAGAAATGGACTCAAGATCGATTTCAATAGATTTTACTTAAGTTTGCTTTCAATTTCACATAGTAATCATACCAATATAGTAAACTATTGTAAATACTGTATAATCAAAACGTTGATTAAATATCAATTTAAAATACTGTTCAAGAATTTATTTTAAATCATCTGATTATTCATTTTTATTAAAATAAAACTAAAAAAATAAAATACTGAAACAAGGAGACATTGTAGAAAAAAACTTATTTTTTGACCACAAGGCAAACAGAGGGAGCAATAAGTGGGGGGGGGGGAAGCAATGAAGAGGTATCAGACAACCAAGGCAAGGGGGATCTTTTCAGTATTTTCTAACAAATAAACGAACAATGTGATACACCAGGAAATTGTGAATTGTATGATGAAGGGGCAGTCTGAAGCTTTACACAAACAGAAACATTGTCAAGGACTATCTCTTTATTCTGAATGAATTTAAGTCTTCAAAACAAGATAGTGGAATCAGTTAATGGCCTAGCTGAACCCTTCTTTGAGCAATCCTGGAGAACTGGTGACATACCAGGTATCTGGAGGATAGGAAATGTTGCCCTGTCTTCAAAAACAGGCAAAGGAATATCCAGAAACTCAATCTGACTGACATTAATATTTCAGAAATTTATAGAGTTAATTCTTATAACATCTTGAAAACTATGTAATGTACAGATTTGTCAAGAACAAAACTGCCAAATTAACCTTACTGCATTTCTTTGATTGGGTTACTTTGTTAATGAATTGAAGGAATGAGGTAGCCATAATATATGTTGACTTTAGCAAACCATACAAGTACCTCACGATATTCTGATTAACAAGCTAATTAAGTATACTAGATACCATGACAATTATGAAGAGGTAGAGAGAATTCTTATTAAATTTGCAGATGATACAAAATTGCAGAGGATAGAAAAATGGAAAAAGAAACATTTTATCATTATTTTAAAGTCTTATGACATACTATAATATTTCTCAAACCTGATTTTGGTATTGACAGTCATGGTAATTTCTCTGTCTGGAGAACACAATGATGCTTCTTGGCTACTGTCAGTATTTAGAGATTCTGAATCTGACATTCGGGAAGGAGAGGAACAATTGCTATTATTCTGATTGCTGTTATGGGTTGGATCATCAGATGAAGAATCTACTGCTTTACTGTCATCTGAAAACAATTTAATTTAATTTAGCATATTCATATTATTAACTCATGCAAATGTATATCTATAGTACACATTCACTTTACATGTGACTTTTCATAGCCGGTAAATATCAGGGCCTTTGTGATTCATCTGAAGGAACAACTTCCTGGAATTGAGTGAGACTTCTCCAAATCTGCAGATTGAAGCACCATGTCCTCTCAAAGGAATGTCCACCAGGGTACCAGTAAACTGGCAGAAAAGTCACAATAACCTGGTAGTTTGGGGAATAATTTAAGAAAAACACTTCTATTTTTTTTGAAGAACATCTCTGAATGGCTGATACAACTCTACTAAATGTGCTTAACTACCTAAATGATTTTAAGTTTGAATAGGCTGAAGAAACAGCATTTCTCTACTGGAATTAGGCTAAAGATACTCCTTCCTCCCAAATGGTTCTATAATATTCTGATTTCATAGTAAGTCATATTTAATGGCTCCGTGTAGTTCTCATTTCTAATAATATTCATCTTTGTTTTGTAATTTGCATGACTTTTCCTGGAACATTCAGCTTTATGCAAAAGTATTCAATTTCACTTGAAATAGAGGAAGTGATTGACTTACAACAATTCATTTAGTGACTGTTAAAAGTTACAACAGCACTGAAAAAAGTGACTTATGATCTTTTTTCACACAACTGTTGTAGCATCTCCATGGTCATATGATCAAAATTCAGATGCTTGGCTTAACAACCATGTGACTAAACTGCAATGATTCACTTAACAAGTATGGCAAGAAAGGTTGCAAAATGGGGCAAAACTCACTTAGCAAATGTCTCACTTAGCATCATAAATTTGGGGCTCAATTGTAGTTATAACTCTAGGACTATCTGTATTCAGCTTGGGGCGGAATATATTTAAAATATGTGAAATCCTGAGGCAGCAGTTTGTTAAATAAAAATATTTGACCATTTCTTAACAGTGAAAATATCTGACAAATTCTGTGTTCAAATCCTACAAAAGAGCAAATGCACTGAAGAACACTTTTTTAAAAATTAGAAATTTAAAGCATACAAATAACAAAATAACAAAATTATAGTGATTACAAACACAAAATTAGTAAAACTTTATTATGCTAATCTAACTATATTTGTACTAATTACTTATATTAAAAAAACCCAAAAATTAAGATAATACAATACTGAATAACCAATAAAGCAAAAAAGCAGGAAATAAACAAAACATAGGTAATAATCAGCATATCAAACAAACTAGGCTGTAAATTATAATAAATAGTTGCAGATTGTCTTATTTAGTTTAATACAACATTGAAGACATGGAAGACAACAAGTTATAATAAACCCAAACAATAAGCACTGAAGTAAGGTAGAATACTGGCAACAGTGACAAAATCAAATTTAAGCGCACCGATCTGCCTTTACTTTGCACTGGGATCTCTTTTGTTTCCTAATAGCTGCAATCCAGGCACAAACGACTGAAGGAGTGTAAGTAAAAAAATATATGAATATAAATTTATTTTTATGCTACTTTTCATGCAAAACTCTATTTGTAACTTTTAGTCATCTCAGAGAAACAGATCTTTTTAAAGCATTTATCACTGAATAAATGCCTACCTTTTTTGCTATTGCCAAGTGCTACTACTTTTGGTTGGTTAATGGAAGTTTCTATGAGAGGTGGTCTCATTTCTGCTACTTTCATTTCTTCATCAGAAGATAGTTCTTCTGATTCCTGTAAAAAAAAGATGAACATCAGGCTTGTCAACATAATTATAATCTATTTAAAAAGCCTTTTATATTAATACAAAGACCTTAAAGCAGCAAGCGGTCTCCAGCCTTTTTTGGCACCAGAGACAGGTTTTGTGGAAGGCAATTTGTTTCAAGGACCAGAGGGGATGTTTTTGGTTTTGCTTGCTTACCCACTGCTCATCCCAGCTGTTCAATCTGATTCTTAACAGGCCATGGACCGGTACCAGTCCATGATGGCCTGGGCGTTGGGGACCCCTGCCTTAAAAGATTTGTCACAAAAGCTGCGCCTTAAGAGGCATATAGCTGTATTTGGAAAGCTGGTCTTCAGAAGACTTTGCCATCAAAGACTGCAAGAATGTTATCTCAAAGTTCAGTGGGTGTTTTAATTTAAGATAGTAAAATATGGAATGCACTGAAAAATGTATTTTCCATACTAAATACTAGTAGTAATAGTATATAGCATATTTGTGCTAATCTAACCTGAGGCTATATAAATGAAACATTTATTATACCTGACTTCTTTTAACCATGCTGACTGAATTTTTTCTAATCTAAATTCTCATATAAAGCTAGGACAGTAAAAATAACAGCAATAGGAGAATCACATTTTATTTGCACAGACATAATAAAAATATATTTTTGAAATTTGTTACACAATTAGGTAAATTATTATTCACATTTATTAAAATTTACCATTCAGTAAAAAGTTTGATGTTGGTAACTAATAGATCATTCCTGTGCATGACTACTCAAATGCATGGTCTGGTTTGGGAGACATGTATAGGATTAGTCTATTTTTATTTTTAGGATGCATGTATACGATTACTGTATGAAATATGCGTGGGAGTTTAGAGTTTTAGATTTATAAAAAAATATTTAAAATTATATTATACTCCTTATGTTTTATCCAAATTTAATACCACAATGATAGAGAATAGAGCATAGAAATATATAAAATACCTCCAGAGTATCTTCATGGTTAACAATTGGCTTCACATTTTCTGTGACTTTAACTTGATTGTTCACCTGTGAGTTTCTGATACTGTTCTCATCATCTGATTCATTAAGTTTCTGCACACAGTTTCCCATAATATTCTGCTCGTTTTCCATTTTGTTTTTCACTGGAGTAATTTCTGAAGTCTAAATAATTAACCAAAATTAATTATTTTATTATTTAATTATCGCTGACCAAAACTGCAAAATACATAATGTAGTTTTAATATATTTATCTTGGATGAACAACTTGTAAAATGTACAGAATGTTGTTTATAAGTTTTTTTAAATTATCTTCACAATAACTATAATTAAAATAAAAATTATACAGTTCAAATATTAGTAGCTCTTAAAAATTATTAATGAACGTGTGGTGAAAAGTTAGACAATTTCAAGCATAACACTGAATCTAACCTTTACTCCTATATCCTTTACTGCAACTTGCTGGCTTTCTTGCTTTGCTTCTTTATTAGTTTCAACTGTGTTTTCTTCATCTTTTAATCTGTGTACTATTGTTTGAACAGTTTTGACCATATTCTTCAGTTCATCAGGGTATGGTGTTGGGTACCTCTTCAAATTACCCTCCTATATAAAATAAATCAATTTTAAAATTAACCAATTATAAATTGCAGCAAAGAATGTTCCATATTTTGATCAATACAGTAAGTGCAGGATACTCCTCAATTTACTATTGCAAAGGATACAGAATTTTGGCTTAACAGGGCAGCTGTTAAGTGGGTCACCATGTGACCCAACTCTATTTTATAACCATTTTTACAGCAATCATTAAGCAAATTGCCAGACATTAAGCAAACCACGTATTTCATAAGTGAATCCAGCATATCCAATGGAATTTTTTTGCTGTTTTCTGTCAGAAATGTCACAAATTGCAGTCATGTAACTACAGGATGCTGCAACCAGTCATAAATGTGAACCAGCTGCCAAGCACCCAAAATGCGAAGTGTGTGTGTGGGGGGATGCATTTTATGACAGTCAAAAGTGCTTTACAGGCTGTAAAGGATGTAAAACACCATTTCTGGGGCTGACATAACTTCAAATGGTCATTAAGTGAGGGCTATCTATAATAACACTCACACCTTGGTCACTTTCCATCTGGACTGCTACAATGTGCTATACATGGGGCTGCCTTTGAAGACTATTCGGAAGTGTTGGCCACCACCCCTCAGTTTGCTCATGTTAACATGCCTGATATGCAAGCTGCACTGGCTCAGTTTTCTTGCAGATACAATGTAAGGTGCTGATTATCACCTTTAAAGCTCTACAAGACACCAGAGCAGGTTATTTGTAGGACCACCTGAGATTATCTGCCCATTCCATCAGATCAAATGAGACAGCCGTGGTGGTGCAGTGCTTAGAATACAGTACTGCGGGCTAACTCACTGCTCACTCCAGGAGTTTGATTCCGAGCTGCTCAAGGTTTGGATCCAGATGTTTGGGGGCAATAGGCTGACTCTGTAAATTGCTTAGAGAGGGCTGTAAAGCACTGTGAAGCGGTATATAAGTCTAGTGCTATTGCTATAGATTATCCACCTCAGCAAAATATTACATCCAAAGCAGCTTGTTTTTTATCTATAAAGGATGAACTGAAGACAGGATAACAAAATAAAGCAAATACATACTCTAGGCGGTGCCTCTCTTTCATCTTTATCTTCATCACATTCAAAAGCCACCTGAGCACGCTGTTTCCTTTGCTCCTCCCACAGTGAAGGATTGAAGCTCTCGTTATCAGATATGAACATAACTGAATAAAAGTGTAAAGGTAAGTTAGAGCAAATAAAGTAATTCACACAACAGGTAGCATTTCTTAATAACCTTAACAAAACAGACTGAATACAATATAAACAGCTAACTCAAGCTCAAATTGGAAATGAAGTTTCCATTTCCACTGCTACCTGGCAACAGAGGTACTTAAGATGTGATAATTCAAGATGATCACTTAATCTTGTTTAAATAAAACAAAATCTTTATAGAGTCAGTCCTCAACTAATGACATTATTTGGTGATCATTCAAAGTTACACCAGAACCTTCCCCAGCCAAAAGGTACTTACAACCCAGTTCTTCTCCCCCCCCCGAATCATGTGACTGCATTCTGGGCGCCTGGTAGCTTGCCTACATTTATGGCTGTTTACAGCATCCTGCGAAAAATGGCATTTACTTTTGGTTTTCACCAATATGCCCGACAGTGAATAATGATTTTCTTAAGGACCCTAGTGGTCATTTAACAACTACAGCAGTCACTTTATGGTGTTTGCTTAACAACCGTCACAACCAAGATCATAAAATCGCGTCAGTCATGTGAGGACCCGCTTTATGACTGCCATGACTTATGACATAATTGGCAGGCTCCATTATCATCATAAGTCAAGGACTACTTTTACTAATTGCTCTGAGTATCACAATTTCAGTATTCTCTACAACTGAAAGACTGCTGCAGAAACAACCACTTGTTTTTTCAAATTTGTTAATTTATATTTTGAACCAGATATTGCAGTCAGACTGTCCTAGGGGCTTCAATTATCTATGTTTATAAATAGTAATGAGAGAAATTATGCACAATGAATCTATTCATCTCGTCATCCCAATTATAAACACTTTATAAAGCATGAAGTAATTTATAAAATAGATAATGTGGTTCCATTCCTAATGGATTCCAGAAGGCAAAACTTCAGACAGCTCCCAATCACTTCATGAGGGCTTCTTCTATATGCAGTTTAACTTGTACCTTGTTTTTTTTTTCTTTTATATGAGACAGTAGATGTCGGCTACTAATTTTAATCTGAGCCATATCTTCCAACTTATTCTTTACTCAATGCATGACTATGGCCAGAACATAGACACAAAAGACATTTATTTATAAGTGCTGTACAGTTACAGTGTAATGTGCCTATAAACAGCAGTTGTTTAGATCAGGGCTTTTCAACCTTTTCAGACTGTACCACTTTTAGGACATGACAATACTTGAGTACCACCAGTGCTTAGCAAGATGTCAAAAACTTGATGACTAAAAAAAGGGGGGGGGGATTTTGGGTTTTACTGATTAGATTCATTTGTTGTTATAGAAATGGCTAGTTTATAATATTATGGAAAAGTAAAAAGTTGAGGTTCAATGTTAATGCTTCCTTCTACTACGACAGAGGAAGTCTGTTCTTTTTCCCTTCTTCCCCTCACTTTTCCCCCCTTTTTCCTCCCCACTGGGTCCTACTATTTGCTTTCGTATTTTTGTATTTTATTCTATAATCTAATAAAATATTATAAACTATAGAAAAAAGGAAAAAATTACCAGTTTTAATTCCTTCGGTGGTTGTTCCCTTGCTGATACACTTTCCCTTTGCACTGACAAATGTACGATGAATTTATCCATGTTTATTATTATGCACCACTACCAGCTAGCTCAGGGGTCTTCAAACTTGGCACTTTTAAGACTTGTGGACTTCAACTCCCAGAATTCCTCAGCCATCATGGCTTGTTAAGGAATTCTGGGAGTTGAAGTCCACAGGTCTTAAAGTTCCTAAATTTGTAGACCCCTGAGCTAGCTGGTCGGCCCTCTCTCCCTTCTGAGCTCTTTCCACAGTGTAGTAAAAATGCATCCCCCCACATCCCTTCCTTGTACCCTTAAAGACACAGGAATCAAGTGCAAAGCAAGAAAGGCTCACAAAATAAAGAAACACATAAACTCCGGGTGTCACAATGTTGCAACTTGAGACTGAAAGGTTCTGGCAATTGCAAAAAGCTTTAGCCTTAAATTAAGCCTGTTTACCTTTAAAGAAAATTTTCTAAAAGCCATAGGCAGATTCAAGATAAGGGGGTAAAACTAATTACATTTGTTTAAAGGGATTAAACCTACGGAAGTCAACACTTTGGACTCATTGCTAGCCTAAAATACAGACTAAAATATTTCAATAACCAAAACACACAAACCAAGCCTCTGAATTACCAAACGCTGTAAAAACTGTACAAAAATCCTTATGGTAACCCAATCAAGCTGCCAGCTGATCCAGAACTAAATAAACCCACCTCCTTTCCTACATGCTCGTCTGACGTCTTTTCATTTCATCAGCGCTGATTGCATTCTCCTGGCTGGAGAAAACAAACCAGGGGACCTTTTCTTCCAGCAACAACTGCTACTTCTTCCCTGTCCCCGTTTCCTCCCTGCCTGCTGAGCTCTACTTCTCTTTCCCCTTTCCCGCCCAAACCATCTCCCTTTTATAGCCTCTCCTCTCCTCCCCCCCCCTTTTCTTCAGTTCACCTCCAGCTCCGCACTGCTTCTGGAAGTGCCAACCAGCTGGAGCCAATCAGCTGGAGCCCTGCCGGCTCCTGGGTCTTCTGCCGAGCCCAGACAGTCCTGCAGCTGCAGCTGCCTCTCCCTCAGGCTTGGGTCGCTTCGGCTCATTCCCCTCCCCCACTACACTTCTCTAGGACGGTCGATTATCACCTGCCACGTGGCAAAGTACCACAGGTGGTACGTGTACCACTGGTTGCAAAGCCCTGGTTTAGGTGCTGCGTCACAAGTTTATAATTTGCCAAACCCCAAAAATCTTTCAGAATCCTAATGGTCATCATATCACTATTAACACATCCATACTGGTGAGAGCTACAGAATTTAAATATTGTTAATACTTGTTTCTCCAATGAGACATGTTTAAGACTTTTGCAGGTGTTTTGAATTTCTAAGGTCAGGCAAACTAATCCACACTAAGCATTTTTTAAATTCCAAGTAGCAATTTATAAAATAATCAATAAATATAATTCTTACCATCTTCAGATCTTGGTTGTTGTGGGAACATATAATTAGTAACAACTGTTTCCTGTGTTTCTGGATCAACTTCTTTTTGAAGTGGAATGAGAGGTTTAGACTGTAAATGAAAGGAAGGAAGGAACAATTATGAATGCATTTATAAATTATGCAAGTTAAACTACTATAATTCATTTTGCTTTTCATCTAATTATTGATATACTTTGCTGTAAAACATTAAAATATGGTTCTTTGAGACCAGTTCAAAATCTGCTCTGGATTATTAAAGGACTCTCATCTACAGATCTCCAAGGGGCAGAAATCTGCTAGCATAAGAGAAAGCAACAAGGTCTACTTGTGCCTGACTCCACAGAAACCTATCTCATCTCTGAAGGTATAGTGATAAAAGATAGAACTATATGCAGCTCCCAAACTTAATTTATTATATTTGCTCTGTCATTTTGTTGTTGTTGTTATTTTGGTCACCACGATGTAAAAAAGATGTTGAGACTCTAGAAAGAGTACAGAGAAGAGCAACAAAGATGATTAGGGGACTGGAGGCTAAAACATATAAAGAACAGTTGCTGGGATTGGGTATGTCTAGTTTAATGAAGAGAAGGACGAGGGGGGACATGATAGCAGTGTTCCAATATCTCAGGGGTTGCCAAAAAGAAGAGGGAGTCAAGCTATTCTCCAGAGCACCTGAAGGTAGGACAAGAAGCAATGGATGGAAACTAATCAAAGAGAGGAGCAACCTAGAACTAAGGAGAAATTTCCTGACAGTTAGAACAATTAATCAGTGGAACAATCTGCCTCCAGAAGTTGTGTTGAAATAAATTATACACCACACACACATAAGATTCAGTCTCTTTCTCTCTCTCTCTCTCTCTCACACACACACACATATTCACACACACACACACACACATATATACACATAAACACACTAATTTGAATTGGCCACCAGCAAAATTAGCAAGAGCAGCCTATAATCCTGCATATTTTGTAAGCAGCCCAGAGACACATACGTGTGAGTTGGATAACTGTATAAATTTGATAAATAAGTAAAAAAATATTCATCTTTAATTATGGATCACAATGGATATATAATGTGAGGTGGGTCACATTATACAGAAGGTGGATCATTAGAGAGAGCTTATTTACAAAATCATTTATGCTTGTAAAAAAAATAGTAAAAATCATGAAGTAGAATATTAAATATGTTATTTGTTCAATCTATGAGGAAACAAGTACAGTTCAGGTATTCATTCTGCATATGAAAATACCGAAGAACTCAATTTCCAGCAATTAGACAAGCATATGTTTTACTGTGTAAGTAAAACTGCCTTTTATATTTGTATTTACTAAAACATTTTCCTTCCTTCTTTCCTTCCTCCCTCCCTCTCTTCCTTCCTTCCTTCTGTCCAGAGAGAGGGAAGGAGTGAGGGAAGAAGGAAGGAAGGAAGGAAGGAAGGAAAGAAGGAAAGAAGGAAAGAAGGAAAGAAGGAAAGAAGGCTTGTTATAGAAATATAATAAACGTTATCTAATTCACTGTATTTTCAACTGCACTTTTATAGACAAGGAAGGGAAGATATTTGTTAAGAAACTGAGTTATAACTGCTCTGAAGAGTTTTTTGTGTATCTAAAATCCTCTTTTTCTTCATTCAATAGCTTCTGGGCAGAGTAATAATAAAATATTTTCTTCACCAGAAACACAGCAACATATTCAATACAATACTTCATGATTAAAATATCAAATGTACAACCCAATATTATGAAGTAATTTCACAATGTCTTTATTTTCAGTTCAAGAGCTATGTTTAAAGCATACTGTTTCAAAGGAAACTATAAATACTAAATTATAAAATATAAATACCATTTACCTGATTATCTGATAACCACAAAGCAGTCAAATGTTGCAATTGTAAAATGCTATAAGGCAAATGCTTCAATCTGTGAATAAAAGTCAAGATGATTGTTTAGCTAATCAGCAAATCAAAAACAGTAATAATTATTTATTAGTAACACACAGCAATAAAATGGTCATTTTTTCCACATTCTTATCCATTTTAATTGTGTATTTTTCTCTAATTATTATTGGGCTTACAAGTTATTCTTGTGGTAAGTTCAGCCCTGTAAGTAGTTAAAGTTTTACACAGTTAGACGGTGACTAAGTTCTGAAACAGAGCTCAAGTAACACAGTGGTCATAGGGATAGGCATTTGCACACTGCTCTGGAACATTAAATAATATAAATGAATTAAAAACAGAGGCAAAAAGAAGAGAATCCATCCTAATATGTTCAATTTGTCTCTTGGGCTTCCTGGTGTGAAATACTTCCCCTTATCTTGCCAACACAACTGCAACCTCTTCAATCTCAAACATATCTGGAATCAAAGCACGTCTCTCTATGGTTTATTTGGTTTGCATCCTATGCAAACAACTATTCTCTTTTCTCAGTGCCCATTCTTGTCTAAATTCTTAAGTCACATTTTCTAACACTTCCTATACAAACCCTTTCCCACGAAAAGAAACTATAAAATAATAAATCAAAATATTTTTATTAGAGTATGCCTTATATAAAGAAAATATATTACATGCTCATTTCACCTTCATCCAAAGAAATTGATTAATTCCCCATTTGGATATCCCATAATTTTATGCTTATAATAATCCTAGGTGAGAAACAGTGATTGGATTAAATCCACCCAAAGCTTCATTATGAATAATAGAATGTTCATGCAAAATAATTCAAGTTACAAACCTATTATCGCTTAAATTTATAACTTTTAATTTCTGCATATCACCCATTTCCTCTGGAAGAACCTCCAGTTTATTAGAATGAAGAAACAAAACAGTTACATATTTCCAGTTTCCAATCTGAAAAAATAAACATAATTATGCAGTAATTGAGATTATTTTATAAATAATAAATGCATATACTGTTATTTTTCTGTTGAATATAAAAATATACTTCAATGTGACAATTTTGAATTATCAAAATTGACAACACAGCTAAAAAAGACAGCTTTTTTTCTGATCATATTTAAACTTTCTACTTTGCAGAGAATATATTTCAAATTGAGATTACATGTATTTTTTCTATCTAATGTATAGGAAGGCAATCTGCAGCCTCTGTAACCCTCCTGAACACCTCTTCTGCATAACATGAAAATCCAGTTGATACTATCAAATTAAGATAAGCCAATAAAATCAGGCTAAGATACTTTAGCAGTTGCATTCTTTATGGCCAACTCTCTAAGTTTAAATACCAGAGCATCTAGCAATGAAGGAAAAGAAAGCCTTTGCACAACTGCCTCTGGTATGAAATTAGATGTTGTTTTCTGAGTTGGGAGGACCTTCAGACAATTATTCGTGCTATAATCACCTAACAACTCAACAACGGCAATGCATTCTGCACGGGGTTGTCCTTGAAGATCACTGGGAAGATTTAACTGGTACAGAATGCAGCAGTATGGGCATGCCTTGTATCCTTCTGCGTGCAATTCAAGATGCTTATTGTATCCTTCTGCGTGCAATTCAAGATGCTTATTGTTATCTCTAAAGCCCTACATGGTTTGTAGAAAGAGAGATCAGCAAAACATACTCTATTCCAGTGATGGCAAACCTTTTAGAGACCGAGTGCCCAAACTGCAACCCAAAACCCACTTATGCATCCTCGGGTGCCGGGTGGGTGCGGCCCATTGGGTGGGCACGGCTGCGGTGGTAATGGCAGACTGGGTGGGACTAAAAAGTTCAATCAATCAATTCCAACTTTGCAAGATCTTTTTTTTCCCCATGAGAAGTTGAAATTGACTGATTGATTGAACCTTTTTTTTTTTTTTTTTGCACAGGGCGGCGGAGGCCTAAAGCGAAAAGCTTTTATAAAACCCAGCTGAAGGCCTAGGACTGGGGCAACGGCGCAAGTGCCCACAGAGAAGGCTCTGAGTGCCACCTCTGGCACCCGTGCCATAGGTTCGCCACCACTGCTCTATTCTCTTTAAGTCTTTCCATTTACTGTGCATTCTAATAACAGAAAAAGCATACTTAATGCATCGTCAAAAAAAGTGTAGAGGGTTTAGAGAAAGTACTTCATGATCATGAAAACTGGGTCCTTAACTTAAAAACATCAAATTTTGTCACATCCAGGACTATGTGGTAAAATGTTTTTAACAAGTATTTCCTCCCCGCCCCCCCTTTCTCATTACAAAATAGTTACTCTCCCAAGCATTTCTCATTTTTATTTATAGATTTATATCCTATTGTTTGAGCTGACTTGTGCCATAATGATTAATTTGGCAGATGAGTACCCTCTGTACTTGAGCATTTTTATACCATTTTACCCAGAATCAAGAGTTCCAAAGTTAGTTTCTAATTGATTTCAAAAAAGTTGAAGCCACACTCTACTAGTTTTTTTAAAAAATATCTCAATAAATCTAAGCCTATAAAGAGAAACAACTGGATTCATGAATAAAAGCATACCTCTGGTGGCAATTGTGTTAAAAAATTATGATCTGCAGCAAAAGTCCTTATATTAGAGAGCTGCCCAACAGATGAAGGCAAAGTTTCAATTTCATTGAAGCTGCAGTCCAGTTCTTCAATTGAAGTTAACCTAAATCAAGTTGAATAAATAAAATCAGAGTTGGCTCATTTTATTTGCTAGTAGAATATAAAGTCAAGTATGGAAAATATAAACAATACATATTGAAACTTGAATCGCTACTGATTTGGACAAAGATCAATATCTCAAATCCCTATAGACCTCGAAAATAATCTGAATCTACTGGATATGCAGGATTATAAACTTCAAAATGATTACAAATACAAATACGGGTATGCTAATAGATTTAAGTAGGCATTAAGTAACACTATTCTATTTAACAAGTATTCATTGAAGAACCATTAAAAATGACATATAACATGTTCTTTGTTAAAGATGTAGAAATACCTACCCTCCTATGGAATCTGGCAAATACATTAACTGATTTTCATCAATTTTAAGAACTGTTAATTTCTTTAGACAACCTGTTATAAAAGAAATATTAAAATGGTAGTCATACAGGATTCATATGACATAATCTATATCACTATAGAGGAAGCATGCAATAGCAATCTCTCAAAGTATCTTCCTTTTTTATGTGCAACTATTTCATTGTATCCTATGCAAGCCTAAGCAGCAAGATTATTCTAGTCCTAGATCAATTGCAACCAAAATCAAAACAAATTTTATCACAGAAGAAAAGGTACTTCTTTTAATTTATTGTTATTTATTATTAAAGGACATCCACAGATACTATCAATTGAGGAAAAGAGGAAACAATTTATTTGCAAGTGTCCTTATGGCTACTAGAGAGCAATATCTAAAACCATAAATACTTAATAATTGACAGACCTAATACTTTGCCAGCTCTCTGATCAAAAACTAAGCTGGATTGGGATGATGAGAATTCTAGAGTAATAAATCTGACAAGCGCTATATTTTACAACATGCTAACTAACACAAATTAATTTGGAAAGATTAATCCACCTACTCCATTATATTAGATTTGTTAAACCACTGTCATTGTTTCCATTGATGAGTGAATTTTAAGTTAACTTCAATATAAAATTGTTCTTTAAAAGAAAGAAAAAAGACAAGGTATGTTTTTTGTTTATGTGCTACAAAAGTACATTTATGTTTAAATAAAGAATGTCAAAATGTTATAACATTTTTATTATATACTAGCTGTACCCGGCCACGTGTTGCTGTGGCTCAGTTTGGTAAAAGCATGTGTTGCTTTTATGTCCAACAGATGGCGCTGTTTTTCAAAAAAGCATGTTTTTACCTGTCACAGGTATGACATCTATATAATATAGGTATATAAAAACAAGCGCGTATTTGAATGCAACATTGTGTCAAAATTTCAAAGCAATCGGTGAAGAACTTTCGGAGATTTAAGATTTTAAACAAACAAACATTTACATTTTTATTTATATAGATTTATGACTAACAATACAAACCAATGGACTCTGGCAGCTGCTGAAGTGAATTACTAGATAATAGCAGATCTTGTAAACTTTCACATCCTGAAACACCTTCTTCAAGAGTTTCAATATTGTTTTTGGAAATATCCAAGTAGGTCAAGTGCTTCAAGCTGCCCATAAACTGAAAATACAGAGGCACTAGTAAAATATAATGCTTATGAATTAAAACATGAATATACCTTACTCAACAGATAATGCAAATTAATTTTAATGCAATTTTATTTGCTATGACATATCATTTTATGCTCTGTTACAAACTAGGATCTAAAATTATCTAGCTGAAGATATTTCATTGTGGGATTCTACTAAAATTTTAAACCAATTCCCTTTCTATGAATTCAAGAAAAGTGATATGCTATGTGACACAGAAAAATTAGTCCTTGTCATGTTCAGAATTTTATCCCAAAGGTATATTTGTTCAGTGTTTTGCTAAATGTAAACTTTTTTCATTAATCTCTTTCAAGAAAGGTGATCAACATTAATATTTGTAACAAAATACAATTGTTCACTTAGGCATTAAGCATACTACTGAATTGTCATAGTAATTGTAATATAAATATAAAATATAACAATAAATAAATATACATTACCCCTGGAACAAGTGTTAGTTTGTTATCATCCATCCAAAATTCTTTTAACCCACTTAATTGTTCAAGTACTTCAGGCTGATAGAAATTTAAAAAAAAAACACCACACACTATGATATATTTCTACAATGGAATATTTAATAGAAATACAATATTAAGAGAAAAATATTGAGAATTTTGCTGATTTGTTTCATGTATTTATACACAGATGTTTTACTCTCTGTTCAAAATCTGTATTTTTTTCAACTAATATGTTTATTAAATTACATAAAACTAGAATTGTCAGTTCAATGCATACTTTCAATGTGTCACCAAAACACCACACTAAGAGCAAATAAAATTTGGAAAAAAGCAGTCAGCTTTAAAATGACATAACTCAATACCTTAAAACAGATTACAGTTAGCTTAGAAAATAAAATTTAACACAATTTCTTATCTGACATTGTCTAAAAAGTTTAAGAATATGACCTTTTAGAGAAACTGTTACTTAAGTGCAACTTACCACTTCTGTGAATTCATTACTTCCCAGATCTAGCCTCTCCAACTGAGTCAGTCTATTCATGGTTCTGCAGAAATGAAACGATTAAAAGCACTTAGATTTAAGGGAAATACCAATTATACCTTATTTTCATCTGCTCATTCTGATGCATTTTAAATAAGTATTACACAGTTAATATTTCTAGAAAACATACCAATTAGCATCAGAATTCATAAGAAGTGAGCAGTCATATCAATCTTATTACTAAGATTAAATGATTTTGCTCTAAATACTAGCATCTTAGTATATATGTTTCCTGTGTTCTAACTAATAATTATTGAAAAAAAAATATGTTGTCCAATTCACAGCAATTCTGTAAATAAAATAAATAGGCACAATCAATTTATATATACGTATGTTCAAAGCTAAATTATGAAAAGTTATTTGTTAAAATAATAAAGACAGGATACAGATAAAAAAATTAAAACTGAAGACAAATGGGCATCTGTTATATAATGATGGAAAAAGAATTAAAAGTCAAAATTATGACACTTGTCATAATAAAAAGGACTAATTAGGGAAAACACACAAAACTATCAACATCTTCAAAGGAATAAAATTCATAAGGGAAAAAGAAAAAGCAACATGCTATCCTTTCTGAATATCCTCATCAACAGTAGCAGATATATAGCAAATTAGAAACACAAGTCTATCCCAAAACCTCCAACACCAACCAAGGACTCTATTACCAACCTCCCACAAGAGAAACTAAACAGTGTAAGAACACTATTTAGACAAAGACAAACACACTGCAGCAACCCTGAACACCAGAAAAAGAATCAAATCATCTATACAACTTTTCCAAACAAAATGGATAGCCCGTCAACTTTATCAAAAGCGCCTCACCCTCAACCCAATATAGCACAACCAACACAAGTTGTGAAAAGGATAACATTGCCATACATCAAAAGATCTCAAAAGCCATAAACAGACTATTACAACCAATACGGTTATTGGTACTACTAATAAACCAACTAATGCCCTCCAAAACATCCTAGATAAACTAAAAGACCCAGAAGAGAAAACAGAAGTCACCTGCAACATACAATGTAAGGACTATAACTGTCACTATGTAGGACAAACAAGACTAGCAGCGCACATCCTGGAACAACTAGCAGGCAGAAGACATGATGAAAACTCTTTAATTTTACACCACATGGATAGACTTCATCATAGTTTCAACTGGAAAACTGTGAGTATCCAGGACCAAGCAAAATCCAAAACCATTGGAGAATTCCTGGAAACTTGGCCTTCAGAAAATCAGCCATCAACAGGCACAGATAGATAAAGGAGCTATTTACATCTAACCAACTCAGAGAACACAAACAGAAATGTTGCTGATAGATACTCAAGTTATGAGCGTTCAACAGTTCAAAGTCACAAGATCATGATTACCATATCCCAGTTAGCTGCAATCATATGATCACCATTTCTTATATTGTTTGCTGGCTTGCAGAATCAAAGGAAAAACTGGAAGGAAATCATGGTCACATGACAACCTGCAGAGTGCTTATTTAACAGTGGCAACCAGTACTGCTGGAATCACTATTGCTAAGCAATGTGATCATATAATGTCGCACTTTACAACTGCATGCCAATTCTGGTCCCAAATGCTGTTGTAAACTGAGAACTGCTGTTGTACTGCAATTATTAAAATATGGTTATGTTTTTTTAACTAGATGATAAATATCACAGACCTAATCATGCTATGTGAATACAGCTATAATGGAAAATTACTGTCAAAATGAATAATTGCATAGATGAAAAAGAAATAATTCATAGTAATTCCAACAGGAACAAACCTCAAACAAGATAATGGTCCTAGAACATCAAGACTACTTACAGTTGATTTAAAAATTCTGATTTTCATTATATTTCAAGTAATTCATACCAAAATATATTCAAATACCACTGTATACTTACTTTGGCAACATTTTTAACTGGTTTTCTCTAAGTTCTAAAATCTGGAGTTTAGTTAACCTATAAAAGAAATACAATGAATTACTTTTTGAGAAGTATAAAATAAACCTATTAATATAACAGATTTTATTTAATTTGCAAGTATAAACTATTAACATAAATTTGTGGCCTTAGCTAATAAAGAACTATTTTAAAACACAGCCCTTCAAATCATGCTGCTTGTTTTCTCCAATATTTATTTTTTTTCTATTTTATAAGAACAAGTTTCTAAGATCTAACATAAGTAGAGCTTAAAATTATTTTAAAAAATAAACAAACATTTCAACTTTTTTTCCCTAAAATTACTTCACTGATTTTGTCTTCCTGAATGGAATTTTCTTTATTTCTGAGCAACAATGTTGTCCAATTATAATGTTAGCCTATTCTTCCTACTTGATCAAAATAAATATGCAGGCATAATTTTTACTGCCACAACAGGAGGTATTAAATACTCCTTACGCGTATTTAAAATTCATCTTAATCGCTGAATTCCTTTTATTTAACATCCTCTAGATGTTTGTCTAAAACAGAACTGCAATCATTCATTCATTAATTTACTTTGTATTCTCAAACAAGTGATTCTGGTTGGGGTTGAACAATCAGAAAAACAATTAAAACACAATATAAACGAAAAATTAAATACAAACAGTAGCCACAAGATAGTATAATTAGTTGGTGTCAGCATAACCAGGAAATGGGGCCCTTCATACACATTGAACCCCAAGTCGCGCCATGTAGGTCTTCAAAATCTTCCCAAAGTCCAGCAGGACCATCAGAAGAGAAGGTGAATTCTAGAGGGTAGCCGCTACAGCAGAAAAGACATTCCTTTTGGTCCTCACCAACTAACATTCCTTGGCTGACAGAAGTCAGTAATTAAATATGATTAACCATGCTCTAACCTCAATCCTTGTTTGATCAGTTTCTATCTCAAAATTGCACTGGATATGCAGCTTTGGGGTCTGCAACATTGATTTTATAATCTTGATTTGTGAAGCTTGCATCTGTGAATAATCTAGGTAGGGGCTTAGCTAGGAGCCATACAGCAGCTGAACAAGGGATTTTGCTGTGAATAATTTGAGGGGATACATTCTCCACTTTTTGCACAGAAGAATATTAGGATTGCAGAAGAACTTTTTTAAACCTGCATGACCATTGCACTGACCCAGACTCTTGAAAGGCAATATTTAAATTATTCAAAATCCTGATCTACTGAATGTCCTGCCCTTTTATTATCCAATGAAGCTTCCTGAATGTTTTAACAAAAACCATTATTTTGGTCTTCTGGAAGTTTAATACAAAGTGATTTTCACTGAAGCAGCATCCTAGGTTTTTGAGTGCATGCTAAGGCCAGCTGGGTCCTTGAGATAATGGCTGCATTATCTGCATAAAGGACATATGGAAATCCTTATCTGCTATACTAGGCAGATGGAAATTTGGATCTTAGAGTTCTTTTTGCTAATGAGTTCATTTACAAATTGAACAGACATGGTGCTAAAATGGATCAATGCCTGACTTCCCTATGTACAGAAGATGAGCTCTAAAATTAGACCTTGTAGATCACATCTTATTCTCATCCTAGAGTTTTGATGATTTCTAGATTAAAAGCAAGAGCCTCAGGTCAATGTCCAATCCCCCACTCCCTATAGAAGTTTTGCGACTGAATCCAATGCTAATTTAAAGTTGACAAAAGCCACATATGGAGAAACTTGAAATCTACTATAGTTCTGAATTAGACATTTTAGTACAAGGACATGGTCTACTTTGGAAGTATTTGGAAGACTCATCTTAACGTTCCATCCTCTTTCATAGCTAATAGTGACTTGCCTTTTTAAATTTATTTACAACTTACCTGCCAAAATTGGCTGGCAAAAATTCCAGAAAAGCATCATTCAGATATAATTGTGTTAGGTTTAACAACTGTGAAAATCCATCTGGAAGCCTAGATAAATTTAAACAGAGATAAATTTAACAAATACAAGATCATATGCTTAACCTGAACACATATGTGATACTCATTGTGGAACACATTTAAAAAAAATTATTACAATAGAACTTACTTTGAAATAGGATTTACACTGGCCTCAACAATTGCTAAAACTTTACAGTTCTTGATATTTTCTGGAAACTCCTGTATACCTGTAGAAACAGAACATTAAAAAGTATCAGAAAGCAAGTTTATGTTATAAAGATATTACATGGGAGTTGACATCTAAACAAATAAAATGGATTTTCTGTATCTTATTCATAGCTTTAAGACTTACAGTTCAGAGCTGGAAAGACAAACATATAGCTCAAACTATGCAGTGGTCTGCAGAATTTATTAATATAGCTTAGCTATGCATGACTGTAACAAATCAGGGCTTCTATTTATTGTTCCCATAAATTTATACGGTACATTTCTTTTTTTCATAATTCTTTGTTTTGTGTGGGTACTGTATATAGTGTTGCACAAACTACTTCTCTTCAATTGTGCAATTATGAGTAGAGAAAGGTGAGTAGTAATAATGCACTGCTACTATGAAGGTTCATTTAAACTGCAACAGCAATTTTTTGAACTTATTTTTTATTTCAAATTTTTATTGAAACTGCAATAGGCACAGCATTCTTGGATAAATATGTAACTGCAAAAGCTTTTGTGAAGTATAAACTACAAAGTTTGTGTTTGATTAGCTAATTTAAAAGGGTAGTGAAAAATTTAACCAAAATGAGCGTTGAACTGACTAAATGTATTAATAATGTTTTTACAAGCTATCAATGTTTTTAATGGTCCTCAGAATTCAGAATTGTGGAAAAGGTTATGCTGGAATTATATACACTAAAATATTTTATTTCTTTGTCCCACAAAGAGAGTATGAAATTTTATCAAAGTACTATACCTAGTTATGACATTTTGAAATGAAACTGAGAATCTGGGCAACAAAAAGAAAGACCACCAAATAACATTACAACAGAATCAGCAATTGGAATAGATCACAAATATTTACAGCAATCTCAGTTCTCAGGACGGCCCTAATAAAAGCAGGTTTGAGGAAATCCTATAATTTGTTGACACAGAAAATAATAAAAAAAGTATTTAGAGACAAAACAAAAGAGAACACATGACACCTACCCAATTAAGAATACACATGGAATGCTAACCAACTGCCATTGGGAAAAAAGGAAAAATGTGATGCTTAAATTTTAAACAAAAAGCATCACAAATAGAAGTAATTTGTTGCAAGTCACAATTCTAGCAGTATATTTCTTTTAAACAAAGGTAACTTACTTGAGCAATAATTAATTTCAATTTGGGTTTGCAACTTAGCTGTGTAAAGCTGAGAATTCATTCTGCACCTATATGTTCCCCTTCTTCTTGCATGTCTGAATAAAGGCAGCAGGAGTCAAGCTGGATTTGATATTGTTTTTGTTCAGCTAGGCAATTTTATTGAAATTGCAAAGCTAAACATGGATAGACCTGGTTAGCATTTGGATGGAAGGCCACCAGGAAACCATAAAGTTATCACTAAAGAAGGCAATGACAAATCAAGAAAACTAAATGGATGTGTCCATAAAATAGTTAATTGTCAGGCTGGTGTATGACTAATAATACTGTAACAAACACATAAAATATTTCTAGTGCAAGCAGATAAGAACTCTCCAGTTACTGTGATTTAAAATATAAACATCTTCCATAACTGTAGTCTCCAATTTAGTCTGGTTGCATAGGAAAGTATTATACAGGTTATTTTCTTTCAACTTCAGTTGTGCCATGCTAAAGCACATTCCTTTCTAAAAGAAATATGAAAAGTGTTTCGGTGAAATCAATTGATTCACACATTATGAAATTAGTACATGACAAAAATTATGTCATGTACTATCATACTTTTAGACCTTTAAACCCAAGGTTATTTCCATAGATTCAGAAATCTAAATGTCCATTTTTATGCCCTTGTTCTTTAGTGTTCATTATATTATGAAAAACTCACCATTTTTGCTGACATCCAGTTCCCTGAGGTTAATGAGATTTGCTATGGATGCAGGCAATGTTGTTAAATCATTGTCCGGCAAACTCAACTTGTATAGAGACTGACAATTAAAAAGTTGCTATTGAGGCAAAAAAATAAATAAATAAAACTGTTAATGAGGCACAATACTTATGAATCTTCAAAATTATCTATAAAAACATTGTACAACTTTTTGAAAATAATAATTCATAATTTGTAACACTTCAATAAGTAACACTTATAGCAATAGCAAATATTATAACTTTTATGATTAGCGCATTTATTTTTATCAAGTGAACACAGAGACACACATGATTCTATTCATGCTGGTAAGATTAGACTAAAGTTTGTATTTATAAAAATGGAAGCATGACAAACATGTGATTTCCCCCATCACCACCCAACTTTTGGAGATTCCTTGGTGTAGTCCAATATAAATTCTATAAATAATCACACAATTGGAGACTCCCTAATAACCTGTAAGAATTTATACTGGTATAGTCAAGGTCAAACACCAGCACTTCCCCTCCGCTCACCCTTTTCCAACCCATCTGGTCTGACAAGAGTTTGAAAAATCAAAAGTTTGCAACAAACCTTCAATTAATATAAATACAAGTTCCCTAACCTTCATATAATCCATATTTATGTAACAACCGAGATTTATGTAACAACTTCAGTGTGACCTATTACCAAGAAATCTGGGAGATGAAGTTAATACAACTGGATAATAGTCATGTTGGGGAACAACGAACTAATAAAAACAGTATTGAATCTATGGCTTGAAAAGGCAAGTTTTCAACTGGTGCCTAAATAATAGTATAGTAAAGTAGGTGCTTCCCCAAATTTCAGGGGGAAAGCATTTCAGGGTATAGAATTTTCACTGAGAAGATCAGACTGTGAATAGCCATCAGATGATATTCAGCATTTCTCAGTAAAAGTTGCAAGTCCTTCCCAAGGTTTATAATCTAGCAGATCTCCTACACAGGTTTAGTTTGTTTAGCAATTGCCTCATACAACAACCATTTGCAGTTAGAACAGTGATGAAAAAGTAACTTTACACCTAATCCTTGTGTTTTATGACCTTCACAAGTCTGTAAAACAAGGAAAGTTGAAGTAAGATTTAAGCACAGCCACAGCTTCATTACGGATCGGCTTTGTTTAACAACCAAGTTGCCAGTTGCAATTGAGGTCACTAAATTTGAGGACTATTTGTAGTCTGAAATAACATAAAAAACACAAGCCTAGCTTGGCAGACAATGCAGTGCAGTGCAGTGCAGACCACATCCAAATAACATGTATCTGTTATTTCTAAGTAAACACAACCCATGTAGAACAAAATCAGTTCCATAATTCCTGAACTAGGAACTACCCACCCAACCAGTCTCAATTTTATTAGGATTCAGTCTTCGTTTCTCCTCCCCATTATTACACAGGGAACTGGTTCAGAATCTGCACACCTCTTCTAATTTGAATGATATAGAAAAGTCAAGTCAAGGGTGATATTTAGCCCCCCAAATTTTGATGAGTCTTAATGGCTTCACAGATACCTTAAATAACATGTGGGGGGGAGACTGCCTTGAGGCACCCCATAACATAGTATTAGGGTGTAAAAGCACACTTGCCCAGGATATTACTCTCCAAAACTGTCATTTCAAGTTGAAGGAAAATCACTGTAACACAGTGCCCCCAGTTCCCAACTCACAGAGATAGCCCGAGAGAGTATTCTATCAACAATAACAAAAGATGCTGAGAAATAAAACAGAATAAATAAATTCACATTCTCTTTATCTCAGTTCCCATAAGAGATCATCCATCTCATCTAGTTGACTAAGAGCCACCTTATTTGATAGACCCTCAATGTTTCTGCCTAGTCACCATGTGCTGGCAGATTTGGCATGCTCCAGATACCTTCCAACAGTACCATCTATGGGGGGTTCCAGAAATGTGCTTTCTTTGCTGTGGCAATCTACAATGCCTTGAAGACGTGATTGTTTTCCTGGGCATTGGGTTAAAATGAATGCAGCCCTTTACTGGTTGTATTTTTGTCTATGTTTTTGTGTAAAGTAACAGGATCCCATTTTGTTTTATATTGCATTTTTATGGTTTATTATATTGTGAGCTGCCCAGAGTCAGGCAGCACCTAAACTGAATTAAATAAGTAAATAAATCTATCTATGCTGACTCTGTCCCCAAACCAGGGCTGAACCAAGATAAAAAAGGATAAAAATATATGTGCAAAAATTGGAAAATAGAGGAAAGGTTTATGCCGCCCTGAGTCCTACGGGAGAAGGGCGGGATATAAATCCAAATATAAATAAATAAAATAAAAATAAAGCTAATGGCAAAATCAACCCCTTTGATTAGAGAAACAACCTACCCCTTGTGGACTTTTTGCTGAAAAAAAGAGAAAAATGAACTTGTAATTTATGGGTTTGGGGATTAGAAAGGGTATCTAATGGAAAGAAGGAAATTATAATGCAACCTTAGAGAGAGAAGGTAAAATATAAATGCATCTATGACCACTATCAAGAAGATTGGAAGCTGCTTCTTTATAATCTTTTTTTCTTTTCTATTTCTTTTTCTTAATTTCTTTCTTATTCAGTATTCCTTCTTATTTTCTGTTTCTTTTCTAATACCTGCATTGTTCTTCATAAAAATGTCTTCAATAAACATATTTAAAAGTAATAATCAGCATCCTCTAAGCCAGACATGTCAAACTCACGACGTCACATGATGTCGCGTATCGGGACGGTTTTGCCATTACCAGCAATGGGGTGGGCACGGCTTCCGGATGATGTGTCCGGCCCACAAGCCAGCAGTTTGACACCCCTGCTCTAAGCAGTGCAACTGCAAAACTATTATGTGCTGAGGCACTTTGAGAGAATTTGGGCAATGTTTCCTCAGGAGGAGAAAGACAATGGCCTTTCTTCCAGTCTGATGGCACTACTCCCCCATGGAAAGTTTCATTTACCACTCCCTGCATCCACCCATTTAATCCCTCAGCCACCTCAAATGAGGCCACATCACCAGAGATCACAAAGTGTGTTGTCAGCCAGGCAGGTACACAATTCTTATCTATGTCCTTGGCTTCATAAACTGAAATACTGTATATCCCATAAAACAGAATATGGTAAGCTGTTTTCCCATTCTGTAGGGGGATATCAGGAAAATATATCATCATTAATGGCACAGAAACTCTACCTCTAACTTGGAAGGAGGAAGTATAGATATAAACCTACTACAAAATTGTATGCATATAAAAGCCTACAGACAGCTTAATCAAAGTTGGCAGGCTTTCTCATGTTACAAGATCCCCCTTCCCAGTGAAAACTAGATAAATCCTAACCTTAAATTTTATCTGAAAAAGTGCTACATCTTAAATTGGGAAGTGATAATCAAGAAGTAAAAATAAGGCTAGGATCATAAAGTCAATTTATATAAAATATTCAATCACATATTCCCGATTATAGTGCACATTTCAAAATGTAATTTACATACAATTTGCCATCTTTGAGAGGTTTGTTGCAGATAAAAACAGTTTGATCTTCCTAAGGTACATTTTAAGTACAGTTATTCTGCAATTTTAGATCTCCAGAAACATGGAGATTGACATTTAGAGTCCTAACAAAAAGCAACTTGGGATGAGTAAGATCAGAGAAGTAAATAAGATATCTACCTCATTATATTTAGGGCACTGACACAGCTTATATCTACTATTGTTCTGTAGTATATGAAGCTTTATTTGCTGGGGTGGTGCAGAAGGAAAAGGTGTAGCAGTCAACTGCTCATTGTGAAACATCTGTTTCAGGTAATCTAATAGTTTTTAATTTGTTGAGCTTTTGGATCTTGAGATTGCAGACAGAATGTCTGAGTGACAGAAGCTGCTTTTCAACATTACATTTTTTGCTGATTCAGCTAGTGAAAAATGTTTCTTTGCATGTGATGATATTGCAATATCACTGTGATCAGAATGATACTGATTATATGGGCCTTTTTTATCAAGATTTTTATATTGGACTAAGATTGCCATGGTCATCTTGGTAAACTATCTAATTCTTTTACTTTTTAGTGTTAACAACCAAAATAACTTACAGCAGTAGAGCCATACAAAGCACCTAAAAGGAGTGCTTCACAAAAGATGCTAGTTTGAGTGAAGCACCTTTTGTGAAAACATGAAAAATGTTGGAAGGCCTGCTTGGCTTCATCAAAGGCTATTCCTGGATATGTCTGCATGTGAATGCAAATGCTTCACTTTACTAGTCATTGCAGTGAAAACATCATGTAGAAAATTAACAACATTCTTCAGAGATGCCTGTCAGCATATAGTCTGCTTTAATGTTTTAACGATATTTTCTTCACGTTAACAAGTTTTCTGAAGTGCCCCTTCATAAGGCAGGGTTGAGATCAATATATTAAAGAAGTTATGCTCTATTCTACTATCTGTGTTTGAAACATAGAACACAAAATTACTATTCAATATAACCACTTTATTTTGACCTTTATTATTTAATGTTTACAGGAAGCCACTAGGAAGGATTTATCTGAAGCTCTAGAGAGCAAAAGTGCTATTATACTTCACTTAGGAATGTGCAAAACATATTGCTTGGATTCTAAACCTTACCAACAATCCATGTTCAAGGGGGTCATTTAGAAATATTTTTAAAGTTGATGCTTCTGAAAATGGAAATAATCTATAGCCTAGAATACTATACACTATTTTCTGCTCCATAAAATCTATTGTGATGGCCACTCACAATGCTAGAACAATAATCAATAACCAAGCAACTATGGTTAATTTCAACAAAGATGACATGCATGTGTACAGAACCTTATATAAATATTGATATGTCAACCTTGATTTGTCATATCAATATTTCTTTCCTGCCGTACAAACATAAAATTACTAGAAAATTTACTCTATCTTTATACACAAAGCATTTATGTGAGGATTCACTGTTATTCACTTACATAAAGAAATGCAATATTAGAATGCAACATACCTTTGGAAGCTCTTCAATTTGATTAGCATCTAAATACAGTTCTTCCAATGTCTTTTCAAAAGTAAAAATTTCCTTAGGAACCTGCTCAAGGCTGCAGTGAGAGTAATCAAGTGCAGTCACAGTTTCTTCTTCTCCACGCAAGCAACGGCATGGAACCAAACGCACAAACAAGTTCCGTTTTGTTGTCATTTTCAGGCACTATTGTAAGAAAACAAAGCAGTACTCTAAAAATAGTAACATACCTAGGAAGTTGAATAAAATATTGCCACAGATTTACAGATGAGTTGTTTTTAAATGAAAGACACTAAGTACTTAGTTCAAATCACATACAAACTTTTTAATGTTATGTTCATAAATCTTCTTGAATAAAATTATCTCTAAATAAAAGTATCATCCTCTTTATGCTAATGAATCTTCCCAAAAAGATGTGAAAGCCAGCTATGTAACTATCTTTTTCAACTTGAACAAAATCTAGAACTTATAGAAGGTGAACTCATCAAATTTGCAGATGACACCAAGCTGAAAGAAATAGACAACACTTGGGAAGATCAACAGAAGAGAAAAGTTGTAGTTCATAGTTGAACTGTGGAGTCCTCAGTGCTTTCTGACTTGGTTGTTTTCTTGCAGATATTTCACTACCAAGTTAAGTTACATCATCACTGCTAGTAGACAGTGGTTTGCTCTCATTTTATATATTAGTGGTTTCCCGGTTAGTGTTGATGGGAGTGGTCTTGGTGATTCCTTAATTGGCCAATTGATAAACCAACAATGAAGAAGCAAACAATACCTCAATCAAGGAACCATCAATTCAGATAAACAAGGTAACAGTAAACAACAGCCCAATCAGAGAACCACCAAGACCATTCTCACGAAGTCTGCAAGAAAACAAGCAAGCTCAGAGGACACCAAGAACCTCCCTTTGGAAGACAGACTCTAGATTCAGAAGGATCTTGACAAACTTGAGCACTAAGCCCTGTCCAAAATTTCAAACTATGCACTTAAAATTGAATATAGTACCTAAATCAAGTCAAATATTTATTTCATTTCCTGATTATTCTCTAACATTTTATTAATATTCCTAACTGCTATATCTATTTCAATAAAAAAGTCCAATTGAAATATTACTAGTTAAATAATTAAATGAGATATCCATGCAGTCATGCTTACCACTGGATTATTATTTTCTCTCTGTTGCTTCTTCCCTGAGCTTTCAAAACCAACATTCTGTGAAAAAGAAACAATAATTTTGGTCAAAACTATAAGTGTATACAATATTCTACAACTTTTCATTATTTTTTTGCTAATACTTTCCCTTTATTAAAATATGAACAAAAATAAGCTATAAATCAAACACCAAACTGCAGTAACAATTTTAAAAGACATTAAGATATGTACAATAGAAGAAAATCTATAAAAGAGCTCAAAATGCAGTCATCTGCTACCAAGTGAAGGTGTTTCACAAACAGGTCCAGTTCCCTTGTCCAAGAATATTGCCTCTGTATTCCAACAATGGCTTCATATTCTGGTAGGTTTATACTCCACAAGGCAACTCAAACTTTTTATGTCGACTACCAATAAACAACAGTGCCCAGCTTCAAGGCTAAAAAGCAAAGATCAATAATGAGAAAACATGGGAAGGCTAAGAGCCAGAATTAGACTATGGTTAGTATACAATGCATGTTGGACATCTGGTTGCCATTATCTGTTTCAGGGCTTCTCCCTAGTATGCAAGTAGCTAGTTACTTTCTGTTAAGGAGAGAACCTATATCTTATTCAACCTCCACTAAGTCAAATACTAAAGACATTTTGCCAGTAAGTCTAACAACTTAGAATGTAACAGCTCAGGACAAATGCTTTGAACTGAATCCAAAAACTGACTAAAAACTAGAGGAAATAAGTTCTGTCCAAAACATCCCTTTCTAATTAGCAGCTCTGGTCCCCTATTTGGGGCCAACTCAAGGCAGCCCAAAATAGAATGTATTATGATTATCTCCTATGCTATTTAATATGCAACCATAGGGGAGGATTATTCCCAGACCTTAAGCTAATTGTCATCTATATGTTAATGACAGGTATTCCTCTCAATTCTATATTTCTCCACTGCTATAAATTTAGTATTGAGTATGTCCAAGTCCTCTGAATAATTTCAGGAAGTAAAGGAATGTATATGCAGTAACAAATGCAAACAAAACAGAGTTCCAAAAGATAACCATGCTTTCAGGATTTGCATCATGATAATCACATGATGCAGCACTCTGCTCATTATAAAGTCAAAAGGCTACTGGAATTGATGGAATTATCTACAGAAATATAGATATCTACAGAAGAATCAGCAAATGTTTTAACCAAACTATGGCAGCAATACAACTGCCATAAATAAATTGTATCCAGTCACATAATGTCTCAACTTACAACCAAAATTCCAGTCCCAATTGATTCTAAATCAAGGACTACCAGTAATGCTTAACCCAAATATAAAACACTACACTAATAGTGCAAGCTTGATAGAATTTTGCTCATTTTAACCTTGAACAGTTATGTCACCTGCAGTGAATATAAGAAGTGAACAGTAGGGAACGCCATACTGCCCACAATTAATTATTATATCTCCCAAAGATTGAATTCTTTTTCATACCTAAAAATATCAAAGGCATTCTGCAGTTATTTCAGTCCAAGATCTCACTCTAGGTTATTTAAATTGTTTTTTTCTTAGTGATACATTAAATTTTAAGAATAGAGTGAAGACCCCCATCAAGCCATATTATTTGGCTGCTTCCCAATTTCAAACAACAGTTCTAGAGGAGTATTTCATTAAATAGTACAATTTGCTGGTACAATTCAGAATCATTAGTTCCATCAATTATGGCAAACTATCCTGAGGCAGCACAGGAGGCCCAAGCCATGCTATTGCCACTACATTTCTCAGATAAGGTTCTTATGCTGGATTGCAGAGTTGACCATTTGCCAAACAAACTGCTTTTCTTTCAAGG